GTTCCTATTACATGTAAAACAAAAAAATTGTATCTGATTTTGTCTATTGTTTTGTCTTAGACCATTCTGATACAGACCAGATTGACCTCACTGGTAAAGACTCGGAGGATGAGACAGAAACTGACGGAGAAACTGGGCCAATCTGTCATGAGAAATGTAAAAAGAAACCGCGCAAAATCAACTGTCTACTGACCAAAAACCTAAAAGAGAACCATGAATACTGGGTGGCAAAAATCCAAGAGGAGGAGAAACAGAAAGCTAACAATGACTCAACCAATGAAATATCACAAGTAAGTCAACCAATCAAATATCACAATTAAGTCAACCAATGAAATATCACAAGTAAGTCAACCAATCAAATATCACAATTAAGTCAACCAATCAAATATCACAATTAAGTCAACCAATCAAATATCACAAGTAAGTCAACCAATGAAATATCACAAGTAAGTCACCCAATCAAATATCACAAGTAAGTCAACCAATCAAATATCACAAGTAAGTCAACCAATCATATCACAAGTAAGTCAACCAACCAAATATTACAAGTAAGTCAACCAAACAAATAGCACAAGTAAGTCAACCAAATAAATATCACAAGTAAGTCAACCAATCAAATATCACAAGTAAGTCAACCAATCATATCACAAGTAAGTCAACACACAAATATCACAATTAAGACAACTAGTGAAATATCACAGTTAACCAAAGAAAGTCAATCAGTGCAATATCACCAGTAAGTTAACGAATCAAATATCATGTTTCTCAAGTACATGAACCATTGAGACATTAGGTCAAGTGATAAAATATCAAAAATCAACCATTGAAGTCAGTTAAATTAATAAATGTATGAAGATATCATAAAACAAGTCTACATGTACATGTCAAGCTTCACATATTTGATTTTGAAATTGCATTTTTTTTTCATTGTCATATTGGGAAAAAAGTTTCATCTACCAGTAAAAACCAAAGTTTTCTTAAAGAGGTTTCAATATTGAAATACATGTAGTTCTTCAAATTCTTGATAATTCCATTAAAACTGGTACTGTATCGGGTTAAAAGATATAGAAATACATGTTCTTTTATAAAGATATACCAAGGTAGTGCTTTTAATGAACAGTGTTTTATTTATTGTAGGAAACACAAGAGGTAACAGAGATGGAGTCCATAAAGGAAGAAGTGGAATCTCAAGCTTCTAATAATAGTACCCAACCCAGTACCCCAACCAAAGACTGTAGCCAATCAGAAACCACGTAACAGCTCCACCCATCACTAGTTCTACAGGCTTGTTCAAAAGTGGTTAAGATCTCATGCCATCATAGAGATATCTAAAACTCTTGCCATAGAATGATATCTACAGCATGGATCTAAAGTTGTCTCTGTGTGACACACCTTAAGTGAGCCCACGTCAATCCTGTTTGTTGTTTATTGTGCTGATCATATTTCAGGCGTGAACTACAGCATCACACAAAAGTGGTGGACGTGGAATCAAATTTCCACCACTTGTACATGGAGAGAAAGTGGAGCTCTTCCAGAGTGGAGAATTTAATCTTTAGTGGATGTAGCCAAAGCAGCAATTAATGTCCAACAGGAAATCATAGTCAACTTCATGTTTCACATCAACACTAGACCTGTTCTTTTTCCACTTGTACTTAGTATTTCCAATTTTACTGTGTGAAGAATTGACTTCTTTTATTGATGCAGTTTTATTTATTATTTTATAACAGCTGAAATATTTTACTACATATATATTTTTCCTTTTTAGACCAAAGTATTTCTTTTAGCAATTCCACTCAGTGCAAAGTGTATTTATTCTTGAAGCATTTTATCCGAGGTTTTTTCTTGCTTTTTAGTGTACTAGTCAAAGTCTTAACTTCTGTGTACTTATTTACATCTCTACACATGTCTCTACACATGTGTTTGAGATGTGGGAAAGTCATCAATCGATGCCAGCAGTTAAATATTGACTTTTCTAGAATAGGCAGATGTTTACTTAGATAAGATTAAAAAAAAAGTTTGAATGAGGGAATTCTGTAGAGAGGAATCATCTCGATAGAGGAGGTAGATCTGATGTGATTTTTACATAAAAAGTGCTAGATTTTAGGAGGCAGCCCTATAGCTATATTGAGATATTACTGAGATACAGAGATGAGATCTGAGATATTGACACTAGATCTGTAATTTTGGAGTTGTACTGAGATAGATAGGAAGTGTATAATCTGTAATGGTATGTAATATTTTGTGATTCTGTTGGACGTCTGTACATTCCTTTTTCTGCATACGGCATTGGACTGATAAAAATAGGCTTTCGTCTGTTTACTGTCTTTCTTTTGACTCCATAATAATTATATATTATTTCTGTATATAAATAGGCATATAGTTACAGAGAGCTTATTCCTTCTTTAGGTAGTATGGCCTAGTACAAAAATCATTAAAAAATAGAAATAAAAATTTAAAATAATCCTTAAGAATACATTTCAGCCTTAAGTTGCTGAGAACAAAGTTTTAAACATGATTGGATGTCGTATGACAGACGCTTGTTTCTATAGCAATAAGCCACTTCCTGTGCATGATTTTCTTTCGTCACGGTTGAAATCCCACCTTTGGGACATAACTGTGTTGTTTTTTATAAGCTGTGATACATAATGTCGTAGAGTCAAATGAAAGTCTTTATATTTTTTTCCCTTCATTCTCCATCCATTTTCATCTAGAACTCTGATATTATTGTCATACAATGCAAATATAATCTGTATAACTGTAGATATTAGGTTATTACAATTGTGTGGTTGTATTTGTTTCTTGATGTATTAAATACTTTGTTTTGATGCTCTCCCCTTCCCAGGCCTCAGAAGTATATATATCTAACATGATCTTCACTCATAAAGCTTTCGTCTCTGAAAACTGCTTGAACTTTACAACAGATACTTTGAAAAAGCTTCAGTTATAATTCTCCATCTTTTTTCAGAGTTGAAGCCATTTTTGCTCTTATTTATTATGTGGTGTAATTTGAATGACAGACAATTGTAAGGCTTTTTTGTACAATATTGTCGGGCGCTTTCAGTTTTTTGACTGCTATAAACCTTTTTTTTTTAATTGAAACAAAAATACTCATAGAATATTATATATAGACTTGCTAGATCTGAGGTTTAAAAAATCCAGGTGTCTTTGTCCTTGACCTAGTTCCAGGGTCAGTGTCTGTTTTTTAATCCATTTGTGTAGGTATTGTACATAGCAACTTGTTAATAAAAAATGTACATGATAACCTAATTTAATGATAGATAGAAATGTATTGTTTTTGTCTGTGTATATATGTATGTGTTATATATAGATATATAAAATCCATTGTTATTTTGTAACTCTATAGGGAAAGAGTGGGCTGCCAAGTGCTAATCTTTTTCATATCAGGAAAACAAACATGCTGAACTCATAACTGCATTTGAGATTTTTTCTTTGGGATAAAATTTTGTTGCTGCAGTTTCTGCTTATTTCCATTCCAAAATTTTATTTTGTAAAAAAAAAAAAATTAAATTATCTGTTTGCCAATTTGGCATTCCCCAGTGCTAGTGTTGCCTCAGTCAGCCCACTACAAAGTCATCCGTACGACTTTTTTGTTGCTCAGGTTCCATTTTTATTTTAATTTATAACCTCTGACCTCCATTTGTTGACATTGTTTCTATAGCTTTGAGCTGACTCTGTTTATTCTGCCACCAGGGATCTCTCACTCCTGTCCCAAGCCAATCAACTTTTTGTAAGTACCGAGCTGCTGTACAACCAACAAATTGCTCACATCATCCATGTGTGTGATTTGCTGATCTGTATACTAGATGACCTAATTACTATGTAGGTGACCTTGCATGGTGATTGGAGGTCAAATGAAATGTTTTGTTAAATATATATATATCTTGTGACAAACTGTTACAGGATTATTTCCTGAACAATAGCTGATAAAAGAATAAATGGTCATAACTGCTATTTCTGTTGTGTTTGTGTTTTTTTATTCAATGGTTATCATTTCAATTACAAACTGCATTTTAAGCACGAGTGTAGAAAGTTCAGATCATTCTTGTTCTACACACAAGTAGTGAAGTACTCTGAAGTTTTGAAAAGATGTTGGAGTTCCTCGTTTACAATATCTATGGAGACCAGGTCTTCCAAAAATCTGTTGGAATTGTAGTGGGCACAAATTGTTCTCCCTTATGAGTCGACTTGTTCATATCTTAATTCTTATGAAGCAGAATTTATTCAAAAACTTGTACATGAGAAGAATAAAATTCCTTGGTGAACTTAAACTAAAAGAAACCAAAAGTCTGCCATGTTTGGATGTTTTACTAACTATGGACATAATGGCAAACTTGAGAACTAAATTATATGATAAATGGGATGACCAACTTTTTCATGTTATTTTTCTCTTATTGTGTCATAATTCTCCAGTATCACCTGGTAGGCAAAAGAATGTTCTGAGTACATCTTTTTTTACCAAGACAGTCTACTGACAAATAAGTTGATGTTGTAGGGCATTCAACAGACTTGCATCAAGTCAGCATTGTGCAAGTTCTTTGGTCATTATAAGAAACTTGTTTTCAAGTACAACCTATCTTTGGGTTGAATTGAGACTGATATGTTTTATGCCAATTCTAAGTCCATTTTTTTAAAAACTAATTTTGACAACGGATTACTTTGTTTACCTGATCAATTCAATAGGGTCATGTGTGACTGGTAAGCAAGAAATGCTTTCTCATCCTCTGCACCTGATCCCACCTCTGGTGTTTCTGCGTCTGTGTTTTTGCCCTGTTCACGATTCATATCGTTTATAGAATTTACGAGTTGTTTGATAATTAATTGCCTGTTATCTTCACCTTTAACCCTTTGCACTCTAGTTCTTCACAGAGCACAGGGAAGGTACTTTTTTTTGGCTTTTACAAACAACGTAATTAAATAGATCTAATTAATTGCAAACACGATTTGTAAAGTACAAAATTTGAAAACAAAAATTTTAACCGTGCTGAGTGATATGTGTTTATTAAGAATTTACAAAGTCAGTGTTGATTAATAAGTTTTGGTGGGATCAGTTTACACTGAGTCCGATCATAGTTGATGAAGACAGGGTGTACAGGTTGACCCCTAAGACAGGAAGCAAATTCTAGGTCGCACTCGCACACATCACGAGCACAGGATCCAGGCGAATCTACCAAAGAAGAGTCCAGTTTACTAGTATATATAATTATAAAGTATGGTGAACTGAAAGGTCCACAAACCCTTTGGCTGCATTCGCTGACCTTTTGGGCGGGGGAGACAGAGAGAATGAGACGGCAACAAAGCAAAGGAGTAAGAGAAATGTGAGATAAGCACCCCCTCCTAAATTTTGAGCTGTTGACCTCAGGTCATTTTCTCCTTTGCTCTATTGCGCTGTTGCCTTCGCTTTCTTACTCCCTAGCATTGTTGTCCTGGGGTCTTCGCTCTCTCGCCTGTATAGCAAGAAAGTAAGAGCACAATGCATGGATTTTATACACCATCATTTAGACAATTGAAAATGCTTTATTTTCATGAACTATCATTGTTAACATTTTTTCCTGCATGACATCAGACTTTCATATTTTATGAAACAAAAATTCCACAAAAGCAGGGACGTGAGCGAAATCCTACGTACAGTTTATGACAAACGGATGAATCCATTTTTTTGAGATACTAATAGACAAGTTTTTGCAGACTTACCAGTGCACTGACATTCTTGTGTTGTAGAATTGCATGATGACCCAAACGGAACAAACTGAGCGCCAAAGTAGCAATTTACTCTCCCGTAACACGAGTCATGCTTTTTGCAGCAACTGTCAACAGAACAAAAACGTATAAGATCTCTCATTTTTTCTTAAATGGAAGCATGAAACAAAAATGATGTTTAATTGTGGGAAACAAACAAAGTGTATGTTGCCCATTTTACAAGGGGGGGGGGGGGTTGTTGTTGAGTGAATCGCTACCTTTTTTGCATACGATGACTTTCCAAAGGTAAGTGCATATTGATAACCTTTGATTGTTGACCATTTGATGTCTGGGTTAACGTTTACACACTGTCATCGTTAGACTGAACTTTGGGTACATCGCCCTGATATATGTATACCTGTATCCTTTGTAAAGATGTGAGAAGCTATGTACTAATATAGCTTTGCGTAAATCTTAATTTTCTCATCTCGTTGCTTCTCTCTTGCTTAACCAATGAAATGTCCTTATATACAGGGTTTTTCTTTTTAAGATAATCTTATTCATTTTCTCATGAATAAAATCAAACAGCAGGTATGATGTCACCGTATGAATACCTATAATCGTTCTCTATATACATGTGTACAGGGTTTGAAATGACATTGGATTACAATCTGTGTGCTTTGCTTTTTTTCGCTCTCTTTCCGACCAGATTTTGTTTTTGCACAAAACTTGCAACTGATTTACAAAATAAAAATGTATAGCTTTAAGGAGGCTGGGGAGTCAACAAATTAACCATCAGATATAACTTATTTTTTAGATAAGATATCTTAAGCTGTGAATCATCATTTGGCAAAGAAAAATTTCATGCATTTTAGTTTTAAAATTTGATCATTTTTGTATAGCTTCATATGGAGCTCTTCTTCCAAAGGAGATCAATATAGTCTGAAAATGGCCACAACCACCCAGCCCTCTTAAAAGTATGTGCTCACCCATCGACTCTGTCCACCGCCTTATAACCGACTTGTCCGTAACCACAGAAGCAGCCGTAATCATTGTAGTCATAGCAAGAGTTCTGGGTGTAAAACTGGATCAGGTTACACATCTGAAAAACGCTCCGCTTTTGCACACTTTTAGTTTCCCCGAGGTATACTGGTAAAAGAAAATTTACTTTTTTTCGACACGATTTTTTTTCACTTTGGTTTCCTTGCAATAATTATGAAAAAAAATGTGATTTATAAACAAAATATTTACCTGAGATAAATACAATAAAAATTGTTGTGGATATTTGTCTGAGATTCGCCATCCTGTTTTTCTCGTAACACTCTTATTGGTTCTGGAAGAGAAAACGAGAAGACTTCTTCGAATACGTCACTCGTCTTGGTTTAACTAGACACAGTGTATCAATGGGGGTCACCATGGAAAGCCATGGAAAACTAACAATAGGTTAATTACACACAGACGGGACCCTTCTATTGACACAGTCTGGACTTTCGGACTGATTATGAGATAAAGGAGATAAACAGTTTACCAATCAAAGTATCTATCATTCATGTGGATGTAACTGTTCGTTAGATAACTGCGGATTTACCTTGAAAAATCCACAGAACACGACAGCAGTAAATATTTTTGAGTTGATCAGAGTTAATATTCAAATAAAATTAACTTTTTCCCTCGTTAGATCTGTTTTTGTTGCCATTTAATTCAAACCAACTGCGCATGCAGAATGCAAATGTAAAAAGTGTTACCCAAAGTGAACGACCGCCCGAGTCACTGAACCGTACTCACTGCCAGTGTTCAGTGCAATTAGAATACGGCATGTTAAGATTATGCAAAGTTACATAAGATAAACTATGATTCAAAATATTATTATTTTGGCAAAGAATTCCAATTAAAACACTTACCTAGCTCAAAATATATGGAATGGGTGCTGCTGAAATATATGCGTCAGTTATATACCTCAAAGTAAAATATTTTGACGTTCATCCATCTAGCAACGGTTTGACAATCTAAAATAAAACAAATAGTGAATTAGGGGATGGCTTTGTTCCCCCTGAAAGGTTAAAGAGTTCTTATGGGGGTCGGAAAATCGTGCAGATCCCATTATGTAAAGTCTACGTGTTTTGTTTACGAGAACTGTAACTCATCCAAATGAACGATTTTTTTTTCTCATTTAGCCCTTTAACAGCACCCTGGTATTTCACTTCGCATGTTGATAAACACACTCCTTGATCTTACAACTGGGTCAGTACTATTCTTTGTCGAATAAAAAAATGTACTCACCCACAGAAAATGGCCTCACCCTTAATTACAAGCCACCGCTGGCGCTCAGTTCTACCAATACACTGTAATGCTTCTTCTTTGACTTAGGTGAGTTTTATACACCAATATATTGCGGATACCTAGTGGCATTCTTTTGTTAGTTGCGAAGTCCTTCGGTGCAGGAGGGGTACAGAATAAAGCTCAAAATTGATGATGTGTGCGCAAGACGTTTCACTACTGACCTAAAAAATTACTGATAGTGCCACTTTTTACTGATAATTTCTGATATTTTACTGTTGGTACTGAGAATTTCTGATATTTGCTGATATTTTTACTGTTGTTACTGATAATTGCTATTGGTTCTGATAATTACTGATATTTACTGTCGTTTTTACTGTGGATTCTGATAATTACTGATTGTCCTGTAATTTTTTAGGCCAGTAACTAGTGTTTAGAATACAGCATCTTTTTTCTTAAACAGTTGGTCCTTATTCAGAACTTCAGCTAGTGTATAGAATACTTGAAAAAATATCTTTACATGACGACATAGAAACGTTAAGTGTGAATTACCAAAATTATAATGACAAGCATTGATCTGGAGTATGCATAGTTATATCAATTTGGCGCTGAAAATAAAAATATATCAAATAATTCATAAAAAAGTTAAAGTCGGGATAAAATCTAAGGGTTGGTGGCAAGTTTTTTTTTTTTTTTTTAGATCTCTGCAAAAATAGTCAGTATAAAACAAGATTACTTTCCCAAAATGTTATGGTTGCTCCGAATCTTTAACCATTGTATTCATTGTTTTCTCCCTAGATACCAGTAATAAAATAAAACACTCTAAAAATATCTTTAAAAATTGGTTCTCATATAAATATATACTAAAAAGAATTTAACATTTACAATGTTTGACTGAGTGGCCATAAAAAAAGATGTTTGAACGTTAAGTGAGATATTGGACCTGTCAATGAGATGTTGGACTGCTTATTACGTTTCACTGTGGGGTGGGATCGGCTAAACCTTATGTGCATTCGTTGGTGTTCGACAGTAACAGAATAGACTGAATTTTAGTGCAGGTAAAAGGAATTTATACATCACGGAAGCCAGCACAAGATACACGTTTGTCAAAAAATTCAAGGAATAACAAAATATTTATTGACTGTGTTCTCCGCCAAAATGCGTTTTGTCGACCCCTCGAATCAAACCATTTGCCTGAGGCCGTTAGGCCTCAGGCAAACAGTTTGGTTTGAGTAGTCGACAAAACACATGTTGCCTTTCGAACCCAGTCAATAAATGTATAATATTCAGTTTTTTTTATCATCTCATAATATATACAACAGACCAGAACAACGCCCCATTGAATATAATCTATCCTATTATCTTAGGCGCAATACATAAAACAGAATAGTAAAAGACTCTACCTACCTATTTTCTGTATTTTGGGATGTCATAAAAAAAGACAATTACAAGATCATATCCAACTTTCTATCCTCTATATTCCAGTAATGTCTCATATAAATGAAGCCAAGTACAAATTCCCATAACAGGCCCGTAGGAAGCAATTTCACTTTGAGGGGGCACAACTATACATTTTCATTTGGGGGCACTATCAACTACCAAAATTCCTTGACAAGCAAAAAAAAAAAAAAAAAAAAAAAAAAAAAAAAAAATCATACGACGTTATTATTGATGGGGCACAAGCATATAGTAGCTATATTTTCTATAGTATTCTATATATCGGCAAAATTATTGGGGGGGGGGCACGCCCTCCCTGTGCCCCCCGGTTCCTACGGCCATGCATACAGTCAACTATACTGTGTATCATGTCTTTTAACATGGAACAATAAAACTCTCCATCTAGTTAACCATCCTATGTATCATGTATCAAAACATAGAGCAGTAAAACTCAAGATCTAGTTAACTATCCTGCGTATCATGTTTCATAACTGTCTCATAAAAGTAAAACTCCCAAACTAGTTATCGATAACTATCCTATGTTTCTTGTCAAATAATGTACAACATTAAAACTCCCCAATGGCCATCTAGTGAACTATCCTATGTATAACATTTCATAACATAGAACAGTAAAACTCTCCATCTAGTTAACTATCCTATGAATCATGTCTCATAACATAGAACAGTAAAACTCTCCATCTAGTTAACTATCCTATGTATAATATCTCATAACATAGAACAGTAAAACTCTCCATCTAGTTAACTATCCTATGTATACTGTCTCATAACATAGAACAGTAAAACTCTCCATCTAGTTAACTATCCTATGTATAATATCTCATAACATAGAACAGTAAAACTCTCCATCTAGTTAACTATCCTATGTATAATATCTCATAACATAGAACAGTAAAACTCTCCATCTAGTTAACTATCCTATGTATAATATCTCATAACATAGAACAGTAAAACTCTCCATCTAGTTAACTATCCTATGTATAATATCTCATAACATAGAACAGTAAAACTCTCCATCTAGTTAACTATCCTATGTATAATATCTCATAACATAGAACAGTAAAACTCTCCATCTAGTTAACTATCCTATGAATCATGTCTCATAACATAGAACAGTACAAGCAAATTCAAACAATTGTGGTCCCCCGCTTTTGGTGTCTAAGTTGATGGGATGCTATTATTTATGGCATATTGTAACTGTCTTGGTCAAACTTCAAGGTCAAGGGGTCAAAAGTTATAGTATATTTAGAAAGGTCTTTTCACAGGTAATACACATGTATAATATAAAAGCCCTATCTCTTGTCATTCAAAAGTTATGACCAATTTAAAGTAATGTTAAAATTTTTGAAATGTAGGTCAAACTTCAAGGTCATAGGGTCAAAAATCATAGCATGTTTAGAAAGGTCTTGTCACAGGTTATGTACATGTGAAATAAGGAAAACCTTTCTCTTTTCAATGAAAAGTTATAAGCAAAGATTAAATTTGATAAAAGTGGGTCAAACTTCAAGGTCAAGGTCACAGAGTCAGAAGCCATAGTATATTTAGAAAGGTCTTGTCACAGGTAATATACATATACGAGTATAATATAAAAGTCCTATCTCTTCTCATTCAAAAGTTATGACCAATTTACGAAGTTAATTCTTGAAAATTCACGAAGTTAAGACCTTCGGCCTCAGGGTGCATGGAATAAAACCCAGGGTAAATCCCTGTACACCCTTGATTGGACCTGGATAACTAAAATATCCCCTCGCTTTTACGAAAGTGGGGGAAAAATGCCCCATCCAGTCACAATTTAGCAATCTACAGTCAAACCTCGTTATCTCGAACTCAATGGGACCGAGAAAAAACTTCGATATATCCGAGGGTTTGAGATATAGGGTGGGCTTTTGTTAGGCCGTTATTTACACACTGAATTGTCGACGGATTTTCCGTTATTTCCCGATCATGACAAGGAGCACACAGTGGGTGTGACCAGTTGGCAGGGGATGCTCACTCCTCCATGGCACCTGATCCCACCTCTGATGTCTTAGAGGTCCGAGTTTTTTCTGCTCCTATTTTGTAATGTTTAATGGACTTTTGAGCTCGAATACTGTTCGTTATCTCCACATATTTCATATAGAAGTTTAAGTAAAATCCTAAAAAAAATACATGGTTAGGACTTCCCAATCACTTCGACATATCCATGGTATTCAAGATATCCGTGTTCGAGATACCGAAGTTCAACTGTATATATTTTAATATATTTAAAAGAATACCTACACTGGAGTTGATCAATTCTTAATATTTATTATATTGCTAAATTGTAAATACTTCACTATCCAACAACTCTATCTCAAGCTGTATCCATTTTCATTCGTATAAATGACAAATCCAATATACAGTAGCTATTTATTTGGTAAAATGTCAATAATTACATCTCTAAAAATGCCAATGTAAACAAATAGTAAAACTATTGTAATTTACAGTGTATACTAAAATGACTAAAATAAGCATTATAACACCCTATTCCCAACAGGGCATCTAAACAGCTAATTCATACGTAAAATATATACACATGTTCTATTTGGTAGGTAGCCAAATACTGATACATAATATTGCTAAAATTCTATATCAAAATGTACACATAAAAAAATTGTGAGTAAAAATTTCTTCATCATGATGGTATCTTTTTTTTTTTTGAAACAAGGATTAGATAAATGTTTACCTTTATACAGTTGAGCCTCAATGATGTTTGTATTCCAGAGCAAATTGCCCGCATTAATGAACGGTTCAGATTACTAAAACATACTTTTTATTAAATGAGGTAATTCTGTTCCCAAATAATTTTCTAAGAAAGGTGAAGCTTCCCGATTGATTATCAAGGCTAGACTGTATTTACATGTAGCTAAAAAAAAATGATTAAAAATTCATTAAGTTCATTAAAAATAAAGTGTTTCATTACAATATTTCAAAGTCAATGATGTGAAAAGAGTGATTTGTTGGTGTGTTTACTTGTTTACTTAATTGTATATTTGTAGCACCATTCTACCAAACTGAGATTCGCCAAGCGTGAGATGCAGAAATTGACTACATGCTATCGTGTCATGTCAGTAAAAAGCTTATGAGAAAAGTTAAATAAAATGCAAAGAAAAAAACTTCATGAAGTTTTACAAAATGATATTCAGTATTGTTTACCCAGATCTTGACTTTGGTTTATTATACCAGCTACGAGTTGATGGATTTTGAGCCAATGAACCTTAGACAAAATTTGTTACACAGTGAAGCAACCCAAATGAAAAAGTCTGTAAAAGAAATGTGATATAGTTTTTTTTCAATACTGCTTGTTGTGTTTATCCAAAGGATGTTGTATACATATACTGGAAGACACTTTTTTTTATTAAGCATGTAATTTTTCATATTGGCTATGGAAGTAATAAAGGTTTTTGCTTTGACAAATTTCATGGAAAACTTGAAAGGTCATAATTATACAAATGCCCTGCACAAACAATGGAAATCAGCCATTGTCCCCTTATACATGATTCAAACATTCAGAACAAAACTAGGTCATGTGGAGGGAATAGAAGTGGGGGGTCTACTTTGGAGGAAATATGTGTAAAATATATATATAGACAAGACAGTGAAAAATACAACGTAGTGAAATAAACACCTCATACAATGAACAATGAGCTTTATCAGATATAAGCAAGAAAATAGACAATTTGTTGTAAAAATATAGAAATCCAACACTTTTGTGTCATTTTTACCTATAACACTCCATATTCTACTGAACATTCTTGAGGACCTTTCGATGTGTCTTGTATAAATCTTTTTTAACCTTTTTTTTAAAAACCCTGTTTATATGTCCCCCCATTCTCTGAACACAGTTATCTTTCTTGGTGCCACTCTCCAGTTTTCACTGGTTCCTCTTTACACATTGGCTCCTCCATTAGATTTTTCTGGTTCCTCTTCAATGACATCCAGTTCCTGGTCCCCTGGGTAAACTCCTGGCCCCATCAACTCCTCCCTAGAGAGGTGGGCCACTATAGCAGCACCATAGCTGTCTCCCAGCACATTAATGGCTGTTCTAATTCTGTCACTGGAAAGAAAAAAATAAACCCTCTATATGCATATTCTTTTTTCAATGGAAAAATGGTGTGTATGGATAGTTTATAAATAATTTAATTCTGCATTTGATTTGCTGAAAAAAAATAGTTTATATGGTATAACCTGAGTTGCCTACATCACAATATGACTAACTTCAAATTCATATCAATCCACTTGGCATTTTTACAATTTGAAGTCATTTTTGAGGACAAATTGTTTTCTATCTTACACTACATGTTAGAAAATCAAATTATAAGGGATAAATTTAATAGCTTTTGAAGTTATACTTGTATAAGCTGATTTAAAAAAGTTTACATTTTTTTTTATAAACCACTTCATGGTTTATAAAGTATACACTGTCTTAACTCAGGTAATTTATGATACAGTATAATTTGGGTAGCTATTAAATTCATTCCTTTCATAAAATATTCATAACTACTTAAAAGAAAGGTGTTAAACTGAACCAAGTTCAAATACGTTAGAAGGCCCCATTATAATTCAAAGAGCAAAGAAACTATATGGTAAATGAAATGTGGAAGAAAAATGGAAATTAGATCACACAATACTCACAGGAACCAATCAACAGCGAGGATAAGACTGATGTCATCAGTGGGCAGTCCTACAGAGGTGAGGACCATTAACATGGTGATGAGGCCAGCACTAGGGATACTGGCTGCTCCTATACTGGCACAGGTCGCTGTCAAGCTGTAATAACCACATCACAATCAACATCAACACATTCAGTAATCCAACATTTAAACAATAAAATGCTTTCTTTGGTTTTTAGTATGGGAATTAATGTCGCAGCTGTTGCAGAAAAAATACATAACCCGCATAAGCAGGTTATTTGAATATTTTCTGCAATAGCTGTGACGTTAATTCCTGTACTAACAAACATAGAAAGACATTGTATTGTTTATATTTATATCTTTATTAAAAAAAAACATTCAAAGTAAATTAAATATGTTAAATATTGTATTATAGATGTGTATGTCATTGTATGCATAATTGATGGAACAGCCGTTGCTTAAGAAAAATATGCAGGTGGCTTGCTTAGTGTTGTTTACGGACTGATTAACGGCAATGGTTTTTATAAGAAATAAAGAAAATAATATTCAGTGGATGTAAATATTCAAAAATGAAATAATTGTCTTCTTTTAGGATAAAAAGTCACTATTAACATAAAAAACAATCAGAAACTTCACTTTCTAACAAGAACTTTTTTCTAAATCCCTATTCTGTATCCCTTGTGTAAGTCCCTGTTATAACCATAGGTTTTGATATTCATTTAAATGTGCTAAAATTCTTCAACTTCTGAGAATTTTTTTAACCAAATACATGTATGTAGCCCTTTACCTCACAACCACAATTTGTCCAAAGGATAAGTTGATATCATTCATCTGAGCTATGAAGATAGGACCGACAGCCTCATACAGGGCTGTTCCATCCATATTGATGGTGGCTCCGATTGGGAGGATGAAGCGGGTCACTCGACTGTCGATGTGGAGAGTCTCCTCAAGACAACGGAATGTGATGGGCAGGGTAGCAGAGCTGGAAATGACAAAATATATAATGTGATGGGCCGAGTCACAGAGATTGAAATGAAAATATATAGAATGTAATGGCCAAAGTAGCAGAACTGGAAATCACATATGTACAACTTGTATAAGGTGATGGGCAGGGTCGCAGAACTGGAAATTACAACTTATGTAATGTGATGGGGAGGGTTGCATAGCTAGAAATAACTATATACAGTCAAACCTAATTATCTCAAACTCAATGGGACCAAGAAAAAACTTCGAGATATCCAAGGATTCGAGATGTTGAGGGTAAAATACTTAAAGAATAAGTGGTTGGGACTTTCAAATCACTGCGAAGTTCACAGACATACCCATGGTATAATGTAAATGAGATATTTAGTATTCAAGATACAGTATATTATGTAATGGGCAAGGTTGCAAAGCTAGAAATAACAATATACAGGGGAGCCTCATTAATTTGGATGCCAATGATCCCAATGCTTCACTTTCTGGACAAACTTTTAGGGAATCAGAATTCATATTTCTATCTACCAATTGTGACATGACCCGGCGAGTTTTCCTTTGAAGTCAGTCGTACAATAACTGCGATACAGAACACTTTTAGTGGGCGTTTCTTATGCAAAATGAACAGAAACTGTACTGTATCTGCAAAATATCAACGATACAGTACAGTTTATTTTTAGCGATGACGGAAAACTGAATCCGTATCTTAAATAATATAGACATAAGAATCAAACAAATTGCATGATAGCGCTGTTAGTATTTATTCAAAATTTGAAATGAATTAAGAATAGAATTTTACAACGTAAAGTTACCAGTGGCGGATTAAAAAATTTTAGAAAGGAGGGAGTGGGGGCAGTTCTTCCCCCCAAAAATGTCCAAACTTGAAAATCGGGGGTTTCGTGGGGGGTAGATTCATAATCAGGCCTAACACTTAATGTTTGTGATCGTTTCGTGTTGATAAATTAAAAGTGTATACAAGTTTAGCAAACATAATTTACGAAAGCCAAAAAGAAAAAAAATTGGAAAAAGGGGGGGGGGATACCGACACGCGCGAGTGAGTGCTGGAGCTGCCTTTGGTTCCTCTATATTTTGTTTCAATCATGAAAGAAATGCCCCCTTTCTTACATCTGTTTATTTCAATTTGGAGCCAAGAATTTTGTATACACATGTATGATGACCGGTCGATGACAATGTCGGATATTTCTCTCAGAATACAACCTCGGACCTCCCCGAAACATTTTTTCCCATATATGATTTTTATGTATCAAAATGTTTTGCACTAAATTCGTAGCTTAGATTTTAAAAAAGAGTCAACAAGAGCTAAATAGAAAGGAAAAAACCTACGCAATCAAATATAAATTAAATTTTGGGAAAACACATTACATAATGCATCTCATAATCATAATTATTTAAATTGATAGATACCTGCACGTCCACCTCACTCGGCATTTCAGTTGCGACTGATAAAAATGGGGTACTAAATCATCTTTCTGCAAAATCATCTGATTGGTTGAGAGATATACACCCAAATAAACATGTAAATTAGCGAGGTCATAAGAAAGGTCATGTCACAAGTCATTTAGAATACTCGTTACCTACTGTATTGGAGATACAGGGCGGGGCCCGGCTCGAGCTATCGCTCTCGCCTTAAGCTCCGCCCTGTATCTCCGATACAGTAGGAAACTCGTACTCTAAATATAACTTATAAAAGGTCTGTTTCAGTAATTTGGATAATTCTTTCATCCAGACATTTTGGTTGGGAAAACAATCATCTAGATTAACAAGGCTCCACTGTGTATAATGGGATGGGCAGGGTAGCAAAGCTGGAAATTACAGTATACATAAGAATGATTTACTTTGTGTTTGCTTGATGTTTAAAGATATTAAAAATACATGCCAGTGTAACTAGAATTGTTTGTATGCTTGCAGGATTCAGAATTTGCACTTTGTCTATGCTTTTACTGTGAAATTTATAAAAATACTACTGGAAAAAAGTATATAATATAGTTTTCCACATGTTTACTCCTTTAATTGTAACAGTGAATATAGCTTTATTTATATGGTATATTGTTTTCATATCCATGGTTGTGATGTCACAATGCTTTTTTGTGTGAATTTGATCAAGTCGTATATTGTGGATCTACATATATAAAACAGTCTAAAACATGAAATAGAAATGTGTATAAACGTGATAAAAAGAATCTCACATGGTCTGTGGTTGGATATGTTTTTCTATCCAACTCATGTGTTTTTATTCCCTTGCCAAGACTCGGGGATAAAAAAACACAACTCATTGGATCAAAAATCATATCCAACCACAATCCTATGAGATCCTATATATACCTTCATATGAAAAAATAGTGTTCAAATTGTTGCTATACAAAGTTAGTCCTCTGTTATAAATAGCTAGAAAAATCATACACAGTAAAACTTGTCTAATCCAGGTGTTGTGTATTCCGAAATATTGCTTGATACGATCTAAACTTTAAGTCCCTTTCAATAGATTCAATTGTTTAAAATGTTGTCTAATCCAAAATGTCTAATCTGGCCAATTTTTTAGAACCACTGGTGTTCGGATTAGACAAGTTTTTATACTGTAGTAATTTCTTTCTATGACCCTTTTATAAATTGAGTCCAATTCACAATACACCCTACAGGTATTAGTGACTGGCTGCTTTTGTGGCAGTTGGCTTCTAATGTTGCTAAATGGAGAAGTTATTGATATTACAAAAAAATTCTGTCTTAATACCCAATGACTTTGCAAATTGAACTAGTTGGTTGATTTTTTTGTTTGCTTTATGCAACTTTAAAAAATTTTCACTCATGTTGGGATGCCACTAATTGCTGGTGGAAGGGTGCATACATGTACATGTATATAGACATGTACGGATTGGGCAGTAAGGTATCTTTTTTATGCCAGGACCTACTGATACATGGGACCTGAGTTCGTACAGCTCAATTGGTATGTGTCTAAATATGTACCAACATTAAAAGCCAGCTGTCACAAAAGCAGCTAGTCACTAATACCTGTATGATCTAATTTTGTCCTAAACTCCTAGCCCAGACATTGATCGTATATTTGGGACCTTGATGTCATAAACAGTTATGTTTCATAAGTATCAGCTCAAAACTGTTTTATGTTTGGAAAAATAAAACTTGCCAGAATATGACCTACAAAAATGGGTCATACTCTGGGAAATTTCAAAGATAGGTAAACCACTCAAAAATGCCTGTGAGGAATATCTAAGTTGGACGAACACTGTCTAATACAGAAACAATCAATCAGTATTTCGTATATTTATTTTTATGTACCACAACAAAGATTTCACCTCTATCACTGCTACATTCTGAGAATCGAAATATAAACAACACATACCTAGAACCAGTACCAAAGGCTGTAACTAGGGCCTGAAGCACACCCCTGAGTATGTGAAAGGGATTTTTTCTTGTAGCAGCAAAATAAACAAGCGACAGTGTAATGAATGCATGGATAAATAGACCGAGGATGACCGTCAACATGTACATCCCTAGCCGCTGCATCATCTCGCTCGGGTCCTCAATGTCCAGAATCTTACCACAGACCAGGAACATTATACCAACTGGGGAGTACCTGAAAATATTAAGTCAATTATTGTAAATGTTCTTTATTTGGCATGTATGACATTTAGCAGAATTTTTTTTCAAAAAGTTAGCGTAAATTTGATTTAACGCTTTCTGAAAATGCTTTTATATGAGTATATATATATACACAAGACATTTAATGATGTACTTGATTCAGAGGAAGCTGCTTTCCATGAAAGGCACTATAAATACAATACACAGCCAAATATAATATATTTTCAGTATTCAAAGACTTACAATAAATTTTACATTTTAAAGAAATATTATTTTAGAAATCATACTTCTATTTATTTTGCTTAAAACTATTTATTGATCATGAGGAAAAGTTAAAAGAACAACAAGATGTGTTTGTGAAACACTATGCCCCCGTATGGCAGCTTATGTCGAAGGTTAAAGTTTCTCAAATGCAAGTCAAAATCCAGGCCAAAAGATAAAAAATGTTGATACCCAAAGAAAGATCTTGTCTCAAGGAAAACACCTGTGAAATTTGAAAGACCTAGATACAACTGTTCAAAAGTTATGGTGAAGGTTAAAGTTTTTTAAATAAAAGTCAAACGTCAAGGTCAAGGTCAAAGTGGTTGGTATCCAAAGGAAGATCTCGTCACAAGGATTACATATGTGAAGTATGAAAGCCCTAGCACCAACCATTCAAAAGTTATGGCCAAGGTTAAAGTTTTTCAAATGTAGGTCAAACTCCTAGGTCAAGGTCAAAGGGTCAAAGTGGTTGGTATCCAAAGGAGGGTCTCGTCACAAGGATTACATATGTGAAGTATGAAAGCCCTAGCATCAACCATTCAAAAGTTATGGCCAAGGTTAAAGTTTTTCAAAAGTAGGTCAAACTCCTAGGTCAAGGTCAAAGTCATTGGTATTCAAAGGAAGGTCTTGTCACAAGGATTACATATGTGAAGTATGAAAGCCCTAGCTCCAATCATTCAAAAGTTATGGCCAAAGTTAAAGTTTTTCAAAAGTAGGTCAAACTCATAGGTCAAGGTCAAAAGGGTCAAAGTGGTTGATATCAAGAGGAAGGTCTTGTCACAAGGAATACACATGTGAAGTTTGAAACCCTAAGCACCAACTGTTCAAAAGTTATGGCCAAGGTTAAAGTTTTTCAAAAGTAGGTCAACGTCCAAGGTCAAGGTCAAAAGGTCAAAGTGGTTGGTATCCAAGAGAAGGCCTTGTCACAAAGAATACACATGTGAAGTTTGAAACCCCAAGCTCCAACTGTTCAGAAGTTATGGCCAAGGTTAAAGTCTCATTAAATTTTGCAAAAGTGGGTCAAACTCCAAGGTCAAGGTCAAAAGGTCAAATATGATGGTACCCAAAGAAAGGTCTTGTCACAAGGAATACACATGTGAAATATGAAAGTCATAGCTCCAACCAATCAAAAGTTATGGGCAAGGTTAAAGTTGACAACAGACAGACAGACAAACAGACAAACAGATAAACAGACAAACAGACAGACAGGACAAAAACAATATACCCCCGGGATCTTTCGATCCGGGGGCATAAAAACAGGATAATATTTAGCTTAATGCTATACTAATTTTAACACAAACTAAATGGCCAGATCTTGTACATGTGACTGACCACATGATGATGTTGACCATTTCCATGATGATATGGTTCAGAATGGCAAAGAATTCCACCATAGGCTTCCCCTTCTCTCCCATCTTACTAAGAATCATCCCAAATGCCGTGAAAAACCCAATAATTCCTACAAATACATGTACCATAAATACATAAACCCAATAGTTCCTACAAATGGATGTACCATAAATAGAAAAACCCAGTAATTCCTATATGTACCATAAATATGTGTTTTAAAATTTTAAAACAATATCATTTACTCCATGGCATGTTCATACATGTACAATTAATGTTTATTTTCATGACATCATTAACATATCATTTGCACATGATGTAATTTTAATCACAAAGCAGTGCAAATTAAAAAGAGTAAACCACTGATTTAGCTGTGCCTGCATTAAGCACCACCAATGATAATTATGATTATTACCGAGGACATTAATTCCATTGTTGAGGCTCTGTTTTTGAGTAGTGAAAACATATGGTTCCTTGTAATACAGCCTAGTAGAGTTGAACTGGTCCGACTTGTTCATACGAACCAATTCCTGCCACTTCTCACTCAGAGCCAGACCCAGGGTCTTGTTCACTTTGTCCGTCAGGTTCAGATCCAGGGCGTCCTGGAGAGCTGCTGTGAAGTAGATCCTGTTTTTTGCCTTCTTGTCAATGTACGTGGTTCTGATGTGTTGGAAACCAGCTTGGATGATGTTGTCTGGGAAAATGTTTCTAAATGAGATTTTAGAAAATTACTTTTGGTAAAATCCAAGATTTAAGCCTTCATGGAATTCCAGGAAATTGAATTATGGAACTAAGAAAACAAATGATTCTCTAAAGTGTTTTAAATCACGTACAGCACCCGTACCAAACATTCTAACAAATGCTCATGAGCAGCTCATGAGACTCACATGAGAATCTAGTAAGAAATGTATGCAAATTAGGTAGAATTGGATTTTGCTCATGTGCAGATTGTTAGTCTCTGTTAGGGAGGAAAATACTAACCAAAATGCACATGTGCAAAATTATGCTCACCTCAATGCTCATGAGCAAAAGTCTATTCAATTTGCTCACCTAAGAACAGCCTAATTTAAGATATAGCATTGGTAGTGATTTTTCTAAGTTCAGTTTTCTCACGTGAGCAAGAGGTGAGCAAGAGGTGAGGAAATTGGACATAGTCAAAATTCAGTATTACAAGTAGAACCAAAACCAAAGATTTACAAGTCTCAATTCCTCACGTGAGGCTCACGTGAGGAAATACAATACTTTGACACTCTATGTGGTCCAAGCTTTCCCAAGCCTTTATTACAAATTGACCATGTGTTAAGTGTTAACACTTCCTGATGATAGCATCACAAATGATTGGGGACCAGGCAGGAATAAATTCTTAATTTCTTGAGCTTCTAATCTTCATCTCCCATCAATTTGAAAATGCTTTCCTCTACTTAAACAACCTGTTGTGTCCCCCACTGTTACTTAAGGTGGGGCAGTATCCAATGAGGAGAGCCAGTTAGGATTTGTGCGCCTTCTAAGACCAGTTCAAAATTTCAATACAAAATGTTTGTGAGGGACATTGAAAGTATGTGGATTAATACAGTGAAGAACTGAAATATGCTTTTGGAAATACATGTCATCACCATATTGAACTAGATGCTAACCTTTAAAAGTTACAAATGTATCCAGTATGTCCATTGGATGAGGAAATGATAAAGATCAATTAGATATTACCATGGTGCAGCCACAATGAAGGAAAATTTCAAAGTTATGCTGATCTGAGAATAGGGTAAGTGCTTTGAAATTTATTATCCCCCCTCTCATTTCAGATATTACTAATTAAAAAAAAATATATGTTTATATGTTAATTATCAGTGTATTTAAGTTTGATATATTTAATGCAGAATGTTATCAGGAATTACAGTTTAATTAAGAACTATAAATATGGTAAGAACAGATTAGGTCAGAGTGTACAATTGACAGTCTCAGTGTGGTATTCTATGAATTACAAGTATTTAAGTTGCTAATTAAATATTGATGCATATGATTTTTCTATTGACTGGCTTTTCATGACCAACGGAACATTGAAAATATACTAACTTATTATAACTTCAAATTTTTTGCAGATAAAATTTGGAATCAAAGGATCTGCAGATTAATCATGTACCCTAGCTGAGCTTGCATACATGACGGAGTTCTGATGTTGGCACTCATTTAAAGGAAATGCAAGGAAAAAGAATGGAACAGGATGAATTGATTATGATTCTTATGACGTACCACTGGATTATTATTTTAAACCCAAGTATGACTGCCACTCATAAATTCAGCAAAGGAAGAAACATCTACTTAGCCTCCAAGACAACTTAAAACCATCTAGTACTAGTGCAGTCAAAAATGTTGACTAGACATTTACAATGGATGTTTTATGTTAATCTACTGGAAATGGAACTATTGGATAATAATACCTTGATTGATGTGTACTGTACATAATTAAAATAATTTAATTTAAATTTTTATTTCATTTTAAGTTTAAAAGATGAAGTTCACTGAACATAATTATGCATGCATCTATTTACATGTACATGTTGCTAAAGAGTATTTAAAATGTAATTGAAGAATCACATTTTAGAATTACATAATTATATAATGTTTGTAATCTGAATTTTGTTCTATTGTTGCTTGTTCCAAGTGAGCATTTGTTGCACATGAGTCTCATGAGCCTCATGAGACTCATGTGAGCAAATATTCTAGGTGAGCAAAATGATTCCTCACATGAGCAAAAAATGCTAATGTGCAGAACCCTGCTCACGTGAGCATTTCACCTAATTTGCATGTTAAATTGCACATGAGACTCACGTGAGCAACTCAGGTGAGGAAATCTGGTTAGTCCTCACGTGAGCTGCTCATGAGCAAATTGTGAGAATGGTTTGGTATGGGCATCTTTAATTGATACAGTAACATACAAAATACATCAAATTTCAAAAATGCCACAAACTTAAACTATAGAATGTTGTTTATTGCTAAAATCTTTAAAAGTTAACGTGCTTCTTGACAGTTTTGAACAAAAACAAATTTCCAGATACTGAAATAATTCTTTGCTTCTAATGATAGGATGTTATTTTGATATTAAAAAAAGTGCATGTGCATCTACCCATGAACACAACTTCATCAATAAAACAAAACAGCAATATCTATCTATCGACCAGCTGAAGAGATAGCAATTTATAGAAGATATGGTGGAGAAACTTCCCTGCCATTAAATCAAGAGATGTCCTATGTTAACACTTTAATTGGTATATTGATCAAGAAAATCCCCAACACAAAGGTCTACTCTCTCCCCAGCTGTTTTTTTTTCTGGAATTGTCAATATCTTTCTTTCAAATAAAAAATGTTTTATCTTCTCGGTTCATGATGAGTTCATGATAAGGTAATAACAATCCACTTCTGTTGCTAAGCTTTTAAGACAAATATGTTATATGAGTTTGAAGGTGAAGACTTGATTTCAAAGGTATTTAATGTCTCTTTACCTCTTATTCTCTAAGGTCAATGGTTCAAAATTAGTTCAAAGTAGAGACTGACAAAGATGATACTTGGCCCTGCAGCATGCCTACACCAGTATACTGCCTATACTAGACCCTGCAGCATGCCTTTACCAGTATACTGCCTATACTGGACCCTGCAGTATGCCTACACCAGTATACTGCCTATACTGAATCCTTCAGCATGCCTTTACAAGTATACTGCCTTTACTAGACCCTGCAGTATGTCTTTACCAGTATACTGCCTATACTGGGCCCTGCAATATGCCTGTGCCAATAGTATTGACCTTGACCTTCGGACAATTAGCCACAAAGATTTTCTCTTCATTGTGTTGTGAATATGACGTCTGGATGTCTTAAATATACTACATAAAAGTGTGGTCAAGGAAAAATAAGCTATTTTGACCTTGACATTTGATTGAATAAACTCAAAATTTACAAACATTTTCCTTTTACCTCGGTTCAGCTATATAGTAAAAAATTTTTTTTTTTAAACAAAAATACCAGATTTACTGCACTGCATCACTCAATAACTGCATCTATTAACTACATGGTTACAAAATGTCCAAGTTACTGTGTAACAATAGTCATGATAACCTTGAGCTATGACCTTGATGTTTGTCCTGTTGAGCCCTGAACTACACATGAAGGGACTTCCTTTAACCATTCTTCATTGAGTAAGTATGAAGTCTGCAGGATAATAAACATGTAAGTTATTGCATCGCATAATGTGCAATGATGATAGCAATTAGTTTGACTGTTGACCTTAACCTTTGCCCAAATGACCCAGTAACTGTTCTCTACCTAAGTAATAAATATAATGTCTGTAAGCTCAAAGGTACTCTAGTTAGGGTAATAATGGAGGGAGAGACAGACTAGTGATTAGCAAAGGACACCTGCTTGAAGCAGGGCTCTTATAAATATAGGGTGATCAATATTTATTGGAGGAGAAGTTTGGAGATTAAAAAAAAATGGAATTTTGCATTTGCAAAAGACTGAAAGTCATAAAATGCCAAGATTTACATATATTGCCAAATTTTGTCATGAAAATCAATTAAGTTTCTCTCAGACCCATAAGGTGAGAAAATAATAATAAAGTTTTAGGATATGGAAAAACTATGAAAACATACCATATAATACAAAGTTCTTCATTGATCCAGCTTTTGAATAATAAAATCTCAGTCTATACATGTATGTGTAAAGAACATATTCATAGTTACGGTACTAAATTAAATGAAAACTTTATATGAAAGAAATAGCCAGCATATCTCTCATGTGTATGTTACATATACATGTACCGTGACCTTTACCATGTCAATTTGACCTTCAAATCTACCCACATCATAAACAGGACAAAATGACATGTATTACTGATATTGCAGACATCATTAAATGCTACAACACAAAGACAAATGGAAAGAAATAAAATTCTCAGAAAATGTTCCTGCAGGCTTTAAATAGCGACAGAGAGAGTGGGAGACAGTATCATTACACATGGGTCTACCAAGCAATTAGCAGGGTAGAAAAACCTTTTCAAATGAAATGATCGTCAATAAACTGCCGCAGAACAAATTCATCAGTTTATTGGCTTGTCTTTAAAGAACAAGAAGGACAGCAGCTGTAATAAACTATAACGAGTTCTGAACATTGTCACACCATATCACACGTCTCCATTCAGGAAGGTTTCAGTGAGACAGAATCTCACTATACAAAAGAGAAACGGTTTTCTCTTCTACAAATCTCCATTGTGCATTACACACATTCTCCATGAGGTGACTATCTCCAGTTATAATGGGTGTACCATGTAGAGAATGGATCTTTTTTTTCTGGATAAATCATTTGTAGCTAATTAAATCATTGTTCACAATAAGATGATGGTGGAGAAGTTCTTTTCTGAAGAAGGGAAAGCTTTTCTTCAAAGCAGACCCAGATGCGACAAGAGGTTAAATTATCAATATTAGCATTCAGATCTCTGATGGTTACTCAAAGGGAAAAAAAATATCCACAGATTTCTAAACATTACAATGTATAAAAAAACTTATGGTCTGCATTTGGTGAGAATTATCTACAAGAGCATATCATTTCTACAGCATGTCCTTGACCTAATTCCAAAAAAGGCACAACATCCTACTAAATAAAATTCTTTATGATATATTCCATTCCCCCACAAATTACTAATTTCCTGGTGATAAAATTACAAAGGATCGTAAAGCCATTTCAACAGGATGATAGGAGCAGCTGATGAAAAGGACTCAAGACTTGTTCAAAATTTTTAATGTTAGATATATCTTGGTCATCAAAATTAATTAACTGTCTTCTTTCAAACAAAAATCAATAGCCATAAAAATTTTCATTAACAGAACACAGTGATAATTTAATTGTCTCCACTGAAACTATTACACCTCCTGCTGCAATACATAAACAAGTTATAATTGGAAAATTTCTACAACAATCAAGTTTTAAGTCTGGTGTCCCCCTAGTGTTTTATGTAACAGAGTCACAATAAATACTCATACATCTCCATAATGGCACACCATTTCATGCTCACGGTTCCAGCAGTTTTATGAACTTGAAAGCTTTTTTCACTGTCCAACCAGAGCCAATATTCTCACTGTATTAAATCCCCTCAAGAAAAGCCTGCACAACAGCTCATATATTTTAAAAAGTGACAATATTATCATCAAACAGCATTAAACAGCCATCTTTTCACTGAGCATCAACCCATAAAGGAAAAAAAAAATACCCCAGAACTACACATCACATCATAAATATGTCTTGCACTTCTCTTCATCAATTATTTTCCCCTGGGCTTTCAATGATATTTTACAAAATATAATTTGAATTTTTTTCAATTTCATTATTATTGTCAAATATTTCTTTCAGAGTTATGCCCCTTGAGAAATGTTGCTTTCTCCTTAAATGTCTAGATGTTTATTGAATAGCAAAATCCATTTCAGTCTGATCTGCAATAACAAATTCAGACAGGCACAAATCAAAGATGCATCTGTAATAATAAATGACAAAAATAAGGCTTTTTGTAGTGTACAACACAGAATTCCATATTAGATTGATCTAGGCTAGCTAACATTAGTGTAAAAAGCCTGTACATGCAACCACAGAATGGGTTACTAATAATTGGAAAAAAATCAGTAAATGGTTCCAAAATTTAGCAGCTTAATCTGAATGATATTAGTTGGTTTTAAATGTACTGATAAATCTTCAGACTGGCATTAGTGAGTTTTGTTTAAGATTTTTTTCCTATTGATTAGGAGTTTGCCTTTTTTTGGCTGTAGCCATTAAACGTCTTCATCATGCTGAACTGGATCCCCACATTTTGATATCTTGTGGAAATATGATGACAAAACACTCAAGATGATAAAGTTACTCTGAAACTTTTAAGCAATTAAAACCTGCATCTCCACCCAAAAGATCCAGAGATTTTTGAAACAATCATCTAATGTAAAGGATGATCAAAAGACCCTAGTCCTTACTTTAATACATAACAAAAGAACCAACTCAATAAAATTGCTTTTTCCATCATTTAAAATAAATGCATTGATGTACAATATTTAAAATATTTGGCCTATGGGATATCAGCCTGGGTAGCTCGGTAGTTAGAGCACCTGACTACCGGTAGTAATGCAGGGGTCCTGGTTTCATTTCTGGTCAAACCATAAAATTTCTCCTTTTCTGTTATAGTTTGGGCCATTGACCACCCGTGAATTTCCAGGCAAAAGTCTTGTCAAAGGGCTAAAGTATCTGTGTTGTGTTTCATCGAGGGTGAAGGCAAATTAATAATGCAGGGGTTTCAGGTAGAGTGCAGGGGTTTCAGGTAGAGTGCAGGGGTTTCAGGTAGAGCACCTGACTAGTAATGCTGAGGTCCCAGGTAGAGCACCTGACTAGTGATGCAGGGGTTTCAGGTGGAGCACCTGACTAGTAATGCTGAGGTCCCAGGTAGAGCACCTGACTAGTGATGCAGGGGTTTCAGGTGGAGCACCTGACTAGTAATGCAGGGCTTTCAGGTAGAACACCTGACTAGTGATGCAGGGGTCCCAGGATTGATTCCTGGTCCAGCCATAACTTTTCTCTTTCCTGTTACAAGACACTTAATATGTGACTTATAAAACAAACTTGGTATCAAGTTCAATCACACATTATTTCTCCATTTTAAAGATTAAGTTGTGGCTTAATTTCAAAATTTTTTCTAGATTTTTCTAGGCGTCATTAAATTGCTAAAATAACTTCTTGCTAAAATAAAATAATTACTTTTAAGGACAAATCACTAAATTTTCGTCTCGCTAATAATTCTGGTACAAGATTTTAGTTTTTCTCCATTAAAAAGTTGTGTACTAATTTTTTATGTACTTTTTATTTTTTGTGTACTACTTTTTTTTCTGCAAGTGAACTTGAATTTATCTAAAATGACTTTGACTCACAATCATAAAACACTACTGTCTCTCCAGTACAAAGATACGGACCTGACATGATTACATGGACACCAGACAGACAGAATCTATATCCCCCAAATCACATTTAAGGACTTAAGATGTTTAAAAATGGCTTAAAGAGCCTTTAAAGGTGCTTGGACACAGATTTGAAGTTAATATTTTCTCAAATTTTCTGTATATTTTCATAACTCATATGTTGCTATAGCATTTCATACTAAAATATAATAAAAATCTTATTTCATCTCGAAGTTATTAAAACTTTGAATTTCTGGACGCGTTGGATTGACACATCCTTGCGCTTTCACACATTTTATTTCTATTCTTAATACTTAAGAAAAATGGCAGTTTTGTTGTGTATTAATGAAAAAATATTAAAACTATAACCCAGAAAATTCAGAGTAGAAATGTTCGAAAGCAGAACCTACTCACAGTATTGTAAGTTCGTGTTCAGTGATGTGTGCAGAGTTTAACAATTGAACACACTCGGTGAATCGTAAACATTAACAATAACAGAGCTCGTGCCCTGTTTACAAAAACAGTTTATGTTTCACAGGTGTGTTCAATTTGTTAAACTCTGTACACATCATGGAGCACAGACTGACAATACCGGTGAGTTGGTTTTGCTTTCGAACATTTCTATTCTGAATTTTCTGGATTATAGATGTAATATTTTTCATTAATACATAACAAAATTGCTTCTTTTCTTAAATATTAATGATAAAATTAAAAAATGGGTTAGTGCAAATATGTGTTAATCAAACGCATCCCAGAATTCGTAGTTCCAAAAATTTCCAGATAAAATAAGTTTTTAATTATATTTTCGTATGAAATGCTATTGCAATATATAAGTCATGATATTATACAGAAAATTTGAGAAAATTTTAAGTTCACATCTGTGGCTAAGCACCTTTAATACCTCATTAAGCCACCAATCAGCCAGACCTTAGGTCCTAATACCGTGTTAAAGATAAACCCGACAGACAAGCAATTGTGTAACGTACAAGTATTTTACAAAAGTTGTAAAGAATAGCATATTTCAATCTCTCTTGACAAACTTCACAATGTGACGAGTTACCTAATGAGATCAAGGAAAGCGTCGAGTGAGCTGACTCGGTCGTCTCCTAGTTTTTCCGCGTCCTCGTCCTCCTCCGGCATGTTGGATTTGTCTCCGGGGTGGATTGCTATAACTAATATAATCCCTAATATGATGGCCAGAAACGTCGTCACAAAGTAGTAAGTGACACCTCGCAGTCCCATCTTCCCACTGGAATGTACGTCCATGGAGGTCAGACCTACGCACAACAGAACATCAAAATAGTTCTTGGTCAATTTGATATAGGCTAGCTCCTTTTATATTTGATTGTCAAATAGATCTTTATAAAGTAAAATAAACCAGTTTACAACATGTCTCTTTCAATTTTTTTTTTTAAATAGAACACTGAGTTCCTTTATTGTAGAAAAATGCAGATATATATCAAGCACAGTGCTTTCACATGTTATAGAATTTTACCAAAATAAAAACTAGTTTACTTGCAGCCAGACATTTTTTTATTTGTTCATTTGTTGAGTACACTCACCTGTGATCATACAGGACACAATGAGAGGTAGAATCATCATTTTGAGCATTCTCATGAGTATATCTCCAGGGAAGGCGATCAATCGAATGGCTCCCTTGGAAGGCTCGGCAGCTCGTAGCCCGATCCCCAGAATAATCCCGGCAAACACCCCTCCAATGGTCAGCACCAGAAGGAGATTCTCCTTCCCCCAGGAGTGACACTGATAAAAAGAGATCAACATAGGTAATCAGAGATTACAGAGGTCACCTCAATGAATATTGTCTTTAAGTAAGGCAAAGTCTCACACTAAACTAATAATCTAATAGTGTGCATCCCTAGATGCAACATTTATGCAATTTTGGTCTGATAGGGCTTGCAGTTACTTGGGAATGGACTTATCTAAAAACTTAAAACTAGTCACTTATCCAGAAAATTTAAGTCAAATCCAGAATCCGAAGCAAGTTTGAGAGTGTCCGTCCCTTGATGCATCATCCATGCAAGTTTGGTTCAGATAGGCCTTATAGTTTCTTGGCAATGGACCTGCTCCAAAAGCTTTCACATGGTCACTCATCTAGAAAATGTCGGTCAGATCCAGCATCTGAAGCAATTCCAGAAGTGTGCATCCTTAGATGTATCATCCATGCAAGTTTGGTCAACATAGGACTTATATTTACTTGGAAATGAGATCTGCTCCAAAAACTTTAACCTGGTCACTCATCTGAAAAATGTAGGTCAGATCCAGCAATGTGCATTCTTAGATGTATCATCCATGCAAGTTTGATCAATATAGGGCTTATAGTTACTTGGAAATGAGATTGCTCCAAAAACTTTAACCTGGTCACTCATCCCGAAAATGTAGGTCAGATCCAGCATCCAAAGCAAGCCTGTTAATGTGCATCCTTAGGTGTATCATCCATGCAAGTTTGGTCAACATAGGGCTTATAGTTACTTGGAAATGAGACCTGCTCCAAAAACTTTAACCTGCTCCAAAAACATTAATCTGGTCATTCTTTAGCTGAAATTACAGCATCTGAAACCTTAACTGGTACAATGAAACACACTAGAAGCACCTCTGATTAATATAGGGCATAGAAGTACTTGAAAAGAAATCTGCTCCAAAAACTTTAACCTGGGATGCCGATGCGGACACCAACGCTGACACAGATGCCGAGGGTATTACATAAGCTCCCCCAACTTCTTGAGGTGAGCTAAAAATTGGGCAACACAAAGGCAGATGAACTGCAGAATGTTGCCCAAAGAAACCCATTTTTGCCTTAAAAACCATCAGCCATTGGTCATTTTTGGAAATGTGACTGGGGTCTAACTCTTGAATCCTTGTCTCTTTATTGCATTAGTGTGTTGTTGCCTATGAGATAAAGGTATGTCATGATCTTGACCCAAAGTCATAATCTCATAGGTCAAGGCCACGGAGTAATGTTTGATATTTAAACTGTGTCAAGAGTATATCTTTGGATTACTTGGTTGAATTAATGTAACTGGAGTATGTTGCTGCTGCTGACCTTCATAACCTACATGTATGTCATGACCTTATTTCAAGTATAAATCCTGAAGCTCAAAGTAATTGGCAACAAATAAGATGTTATAATTATGATGCAAATCTTGTTAATTTTAAACTATTGATTAAGATACTTAATCCCTTCTTAATTATTAATCAATACCCAGTGTAAATTGTACATGCTTTAAGTTTGATTCAAGGACATTTTATCAAGGTCATATAAAGCATGTTCCCGACCTTGCAAGGGGGGGGGGGGGATATCCACTCTGAAGACAGTGTTAGGTGGGGAGTTTGACTGGGATGGTATATTTAGGGAAATTAAGGCAGAGATTTCTGTTACTTGTGAAGTTAAATTTTTAGTCTACATCATAGAAACATAGTTTAGATTCCAAATACAAACTTACTTACAAGTTCAATAATATTTGATTTTTTATATATATAATTACATGAATTGACATTCAAGACTTTTTCAAAAATATTTTTTTTAGCCTGGTATTAAACTACACATATCTTCTTTCTCTGTTTTAGAAAGAATTTTATTCCCTTGTGGAATAATTGCAAGAGAATTTGTTTAAACACCACATTATTTCAGATTTTAAATACAATTAATATGCTATGAATGATTCCTGTTTTGGTTCAGAGAAAACATATGTATGACTATAGCAAAGCCTTGAAAAATTGCATGTTCATAGAATAGATGCGTGGGAACACATTAACATATTGACGGTTAAGTAAACTTTACAGATTTCTGGTTCTGATGTATGATGTAATAATTAGCTTAGTTTTTCCATTTGTTCACATGCATGCAGATATCTCCATGTAACATGATGGATTGCTTCAACTTGTTATCTTGCTTTTTCATTTTGTAATTCTATTAAAGTATTTGTACTTGATAAGGTGTAACCTACGTAACGGAGTATTAAGTCGCACTTTAAAGCATTCCAATGTGGAAACATGACACATTTAGTTATTATAACAAAGTATTCAATTATTAAATAACTTATTAAGATTATTGAAATAGTCTCTCTTTTAATAATTCATTTATTTCTTGGTTACTTTCATAAAGATTTATAAAATCTTCATTTGATTTTTAGCCAAACCTTATAACATGCATAAATATAGATTATTAAATGATAATTCACCATTATTGATTCAATATATTGAAGAGCAAAACTTGATTTAGTAATTTAATTCCAGTGCCCACTCTAGTAACAGTATGCATAAATAGAGCAGCTAATTCCCTTGGTATGAGAATTTCCCAGCATGAATTTTTACCAAATGCATAAATTTCCATTTATTCCACAATCAATCAGAAATTTATGACTGTATAAATCCCAAGTTTGACTATAATTCTGCAGTACATTATGTATAAAAATGAAGTTCTGTTCATGGACTTCATAGTAGAGTGCATACTAAAGACTTCTTATTTAAGCTTCTGCAAAATAATGATATTCAAAATGTCAATTTAGAAATTCTTATCAGGATATGAATTTTCAAGAATTCTACACATAAGAAACTGTGGATCTTTGATTTACTTCAAAATCAAAAATTTGTTTTCTTCAATGCATGCACAAGCACCTTTAGTTAGCTAGCCTAAGGATAGATTCAAGGTTACTCAAATAAATTATGACCCAGGAGGGAAGGGTGCATGGGGCCAAATTGTTATCAAAGTATTACAAATTATATATATATTACAAAGTATTATATATAGGAATATATACTGGAAAAAAATCTGCTGTTGAAGAACAACAGGGCCATAGTGACTCAGGTGAGTGTTTTGGCCCATGGGCCACAGCCCTGCAGATGCTTCCATATAAATATGACTGCTGTTATTGAGAAGAAAATTTTTAAAGATTTTTTTCAATATATACCTATGTAAAACTTTCATTGGCCATTGTGGCCCCACCCTAGCACTGGGGAATGGGGGTGGGGGTCATGATTTGAACAAACTTGGATCTACATCATGTAATGAAGCTTCCACATAAGTTTCATCTTTTTCTGGCCTAGTAGTTCTATGAGAAGAAGATTTTTGGAAGATGCCATTCAATTTTCATTAATTCGTAATTATCTGCCCTCGAAATAGGGTATGGCCCTTCATCTGAATAACCTTGTATTCCCTTCACTCAAGGATGCTTTGTGGCAAGTTTGGTTGAAATTGGGCCATTGGTTCTGGAGACTTTAAGAAGAAGAAAATGTGAAAATTTTACGATGATGACAGGACAACAACAATGACAGACAATGGACAACTTTTCATCAGAAAAGCTCACCTGAGCCTTATCAAGAAGAGTGAAAATGATTCAAACCTATTATGTAGAAAGGAAAACAAGTAAATGTATTATTATCTAGTATTAATGCATGTACTTCAAAAATTGTTAGGATATGATTCCCTGCTTTAAGTGGCTACCTGTCATATGTGACAATTTTTAGAATTTCACTTGATAGGTCACTTAATACAGGTTTAACTGTATATAAGACAGCAAGAGGACAGCAGACAAAATCTATCAAAAAAGCCCTCTTTATCATAAATTAAATAATTTGAGATTAAAAAAAGAAACATGATCTTCTGAAAAAAAACTTACAGATTTGACTTTCTTCCCCATTTTTAGTCTTTTAAGCCGAGCTAGACGACTGTTTTTGCCATCACTTGGTTTGTTGTCTGGTCCATCAGACACTTGTTCTTTTTCCTTTTCCACCATTGGACTTGTCTGTTCAACGTCGGACATTTTGTCGGAGGTCTTTGTTTAAATATTTGTCACTTTTTATAAAATTCTATAAAATTCTACAGCTGCCTTTCACACACAATATCAGTTAAAAATTCCAATTCCTTTTCTTAAGTTCCTTCCACTATTAACTGACAACACTGAGAAATTGTCTCCAGCAGAAATTTGTCCTCTGAGACTGATGTATCACATAATTTAAACGTTTCAATTTGTATTGGTGTCTATTTGTAGCTATTTTCCCATCAATAATGTCTTTAGCTCTTTCAAACCCTGAAATGTACAAAAGCAGCATTACAATATTGCCCTAAAAAATAGTGACTTTATATAAAGAGAAAAAATCATCTCTGGTCTTCATCAGAGCAGCTGCAGAGTGCACTAAAAGAAAGCAGTCAATTTGAATGCATTATTCCAAACTAATTCTGAGGGGGAATTATTTAGTCAGAAAACACCCTTACCAAAATGAAATGTTTGCTGCAAGTTTGCGGCAAGTTTGCAGCAAGTTTGCGGCAAACAAATGTGTGTACCAGAGCAGTAAGCCAGAAGTGTGCAGTAAATGCAGCTAGCAGCACACAGTATGCCATTTGCGGTTCAGTGTGTGCTGCTAGAGGCACATTATGTATTTCTAGTGGCACATTAAATGATCTGATGAACATGTGTGCCAGAAATGCACCACAAATATTCCTTAAATTTCTTTCATTTATATAGTGTGCCAGAAGTGTACCAGAAATGTTTCTTTAGACTTTAAAAAAGACTGTGTGCCAAAAGTGTGCCAAAAATATTTCTTACTCATTATTAACTAGTATTAACTTACATTGCATGTTTATTGAAGTATCTGTATACCAACTGTTTTAAAAACATGGCACATTACACTTTTCTTCTACTAATATATTGCAATTTTCATAAACATATCAAATTTAAGAAAACTGGCATTTTTAATACTAGTATTTAAACTCAGACACTTGGCAGTATAAAGAATGGTAAAGTACAAAAAGCAAAACTAAGTCAAAGTTTAAGTTTCAGGAATTTATTAAGTCTGCTTTTTATAATTATTTCTTGTAAAATACTCCAAGACAATCAAACCAAGTAGAGTCCATGTTCTTTGACAAAAATTAAAAAAAAAAATTAATATTCTACTGAAAAATAGTAGACTGTCCATTCTTTATGGGTTCACTCATGTACATATTCTCTACGCAATTCTGAAAATTAACAATTCTATTACCAATGTATAGAATTCCTGAATAGAAAATAGTACTTTGTACATAAATACACTATTTTACTCATAACAGTTTTTCGATTCAATTTTTATGAAATATCATGTAGTCAATTTCACAGAATGACAAAACATCAATTTGAACCCAGTTTGAACTATAGTTGACAAGGTTGACAAGAAGGAAGGTCTGGACACACACACGCACACAAAATAGACTACTGCAACCGTATGTGTACATCAAGAGTCAAATCATGAAGTTGAAAAATAATTGGTAATTCAAAGAAAATGACTACTAGATTAAATGGCTAACACATCACCATATGAGATAATGTGCACAAATCTATAATTAACATTCATTGTACTATTTGTAATCTATATTTCAGATGAAATTACACAATCAAAACTATATCTAAGGGCAGACAAAAATGTAAAATACAATACCAGTATACACACAACATTAAACATATGGAAAACATTTTTATTGTAGTTTTAATCTGTTTCATTTTTGTTTGGTGTGTCACATACATATACAAAATTGGACTGCAAAAATTCAACACAAACACAAACACTTATCAGATTATGCAGTTCTATAACCATAAATTCATTTGAAGGCTCACAAAGGTGAATATGTGGCAATGATATTCCAAGTATGTTTAAATCTTTATTCTGAAACTGCTGCAATGTAGATTCAGCCCTCTTCAAAACATGCACAAAAGCAAATGCCTTGTTATTTACAACACCTGTATGACTTCCAAAATATCTGACAAATCCATATAAAAACATATTCGATGAGGGACAAAAAAATTTTACAGTGTAAGTATTGCGTTTCTTTACTTTGCTATAGTTTTTTGAGTGAAAAAGTTCACCTCTTAAAATAACACGATTGTACATGATCAAATGTGCTGGCTCAAAATTAAGAAGTGCCATGACTTGATCAGATTCTTGTTCCGTTAAAACTGCATTGAAGCCTTTTCCTAGAAACTGAATATGAAAACTGTGAACACGCTTTGAAATTCTCATAGGATAAAATTTTTGAACAAGACTGTGATATTTTTGTGGGACAGATGATATCAATTCAGGTAGCATCTGAATTATGTTGACTGAACTAAGAATCTGCATGTCAACATGCTGTGTTCCATGAAACAATTTTGTTATATAACCGTTACTTGTCTCAAAGGGAAAACAAGAATAGGCCCACAATGGTCCCAAATTTCTTACACATTCAGAGAGGTGCAAAAGAGAATGCAAATTCAAAGTTTGATAACGCTCTCCATACAAAGCAGGGAAGGTCATGACAAAGTATGCTAGTAATTTTTCTGCCTCATCTAATGAACAAAAAGTAATACTGTTTCCACTTAAACAATGAATAGCTTGTACGAAGGCAGAGTAGTGAAACAAATAGTTTTCATGTAAAATACCTTGCAAGACAGGTACAGAATAAAACAGAAGCCAAGATCTCAGCTCAGAGGCTTTCCAGTATTTGAAATGTGAGCTAATTGATCGAGGAACTCGAGTAATAAATGATGGTGGTTTTATTTGAAGTAGACGACTATCTATCACCTCAGAGAAAGAGGCTACTGAGAAGTCTTCTTTACTATAGGATGGAGAAATCCACAAATTTATCAGCAACTTTGTAATTCCTAAAAGTACTCCATGCATGTAATCAATACATGTACCCCTCACATAATCAAAGCTGTTCAAGCACATTAAAAATGATGGCCCTTTTATGCCCTGTACAGTGGAGCGAGTGTTAACAGCTTTGACAGCATCAGCTATACTTCCTTCATGTGTGCGTACATATCCATGAGGCTGTTCTGCATTAAATGGAAATACATGCACTGATCCTTTTTTCTTTGTTTGAAATGTTCTGCCTTTTTCTAGACAGTAGACACAGCAAAAGGCTCCATTGAATTGATTCATATTAAGTAGTATGGATCTTGCTGGAAGGTCTGCTGTCACACAAATCAAAAAAGCTTTACAAGTAATGTTTTCCTCTCCATTTGTTATTAAAATCCCTTCTTCTTCAAGTTTCTTCAAACTTTTATGTAATGGCTGACTGAATGTTGCCATGAATGGTTTAACATCACCAAACCATAGACCACAAAAAACCATGTTTTCACTCTGTTTGCGAAGTTTAAATGGTAACTCATTAATCATTAAATAAACAGGCCATATTGAAAATTTAGAACTTTTGAAGATTGGAACCCCATCTGTATTTAGAGTAAATGAGATATTGTATGGATGAGATTCTGATAAGGGTCCACCGTCAACTGACATCCTTTTATAAATTTTCCCATCATAGATATCTTCAATGTTTTCACTGTGTTGGCGCTTAAAACGACTCTTCAAATGATCAGTGAATCCAGGACGATTAAAAAAAGTCCTCAACTGACTTTCTATAGGTATCTCTAGAAAGTATGATCTGGCTTTCATATCCTTTAAACTCTTCTTGCAAAGTTGATTTGGGCATGTTTCCATAGTTGTATCTAAAAATGTCAAGCAGTGTGTGCAGTAATAGTGCTTTACCAAAGGAGATTTTATATTTGCAAAATACTTTTTGAAATGAAAAAGGCTTTTCAGTCCTGGATGAGCTTCAAGGCAATGGACTCCTATAAGTGTCAAAAGATCATCTAACTGACTTCCAGAGACACCATGTGTGACACAGTACAAAAGTATCAACAACATGCTGATTTTTACAGGCATAGAATGTCCATAGTATATGGGTTCCTCGCCACTTTCTTTTCCATCATTCAGGTCATCATATGGGTCTTCTCCTGAATTTTCAAGCTCATTTTCTGTATCTGACTCTGAATCCAAACCATAATCACTATTGTCATTTTCTTCCTTTTCATCTTGATGATGATAAAGAACCTGAGCAATCAAATCCTCAATAGAGGAACTGTCAGTTGCAGAATTTTCTGCAGAATCCTTTGTGAATTTTAGGAAATTTTCTGACTGTTCTGTTTCTTGAATATTGTTTTCATCTCTACTTTCTTTGTTATTCTGATTATTTGTACCTGTATTATCCTTGTTTTGTGATGTCAAACTATTGACGATATCTTCAACATCAAAATTTTCATCATCAGTTCTTTCGTCTTCATCTGTTTCACTTTGTGTCCCTCCTGATGTATTGCATGTAGCTGTAGAGAGGCGGAGATGTTTATTGTATCTTTTAGGTCTAACAGATTGCACTGGTTGTTCTGAAAGAAAAAAAAAATACTGATAAATTTTGCAAAAACTGCCTTAAATTCATTTTTTATGATAATGTATTTAACATCTAACATGTATTTCATCTACAGATTTAAATCAGTAGCTAATGATGAAAGCATATGCAGTCTCATAAATAGAAGAAGATGCACAGACTACACATAAATGATAAATTTAATTTTTCATAGTTGGGTGTTTCCTACCAGCTTAGATGACATGTTTAATTAAGAAAAAATATACATGCATATCAAAGAGTATTCAGCTTCTTACCACAACGCTTCTTTCTTCTTGGAGGCATTATATAACTGTTATATTCTGAAAAGTAAAAAATATTCACTAGTGATACGTTGCAGAGTAAATTCGTGCTGACTTGTTATATGATATGTATATATATCAGGAAAGAAAAGTTAAATACCAAAAAAGGAGAAAAAAAGAATAGTAACTTACCACCCGAACAGCAGCCTTTGATAATTGGTATTTGGTACTTCTCAAACTGTCTAAGACTACGAATGTTATGATTCGTGGCCGCGTGGTGCAATATTCCTAATAGGTCAAAATTGCAGTTGTTTACAACTTGTAGCGATCGGCAGTAAATGACACTCTGCAAAAAATTTCAACCCCCACTCCTACAATCTCCCCTGATATTTCTATATTTTCTGTAATATTCTTACATTCCATCATTTATTTCAAATATTAATATTTTTACTTTAAAATGAAAAAAATTACATACCTGAATTCAGCCAATCAGGTAATGCACACTATTCAGTACTCTATACTACTTGTGAAACAAAACAAAACAAAACCACGTGTACATCCGGGGATTTAGTACTCTCATACAAGTCCATCTTATTCAATAAAGCGTTTTTGTATCAGTCGTTTCGGCTCCACGATGATTCGGCACCAGCAAAGACGTTTACGTTGATCTTTCATTACCAACATCTTCAATATTATATAGAAATTTATTTACTTATTTTTTGCAAAACATATTAATCAGGCACTTTATGCTATGATGCAGAAACATTACCAAGCTGATATATCTCAATCGTATCGAAACGTCGTGGCTGCAAATCATAGTGCACATGAATAATACTCCATCCGGGCATTTCACAGAGCGCGCATTTCCGTCTTGAGATACGAATGATGAGCGAGAAGAGACGTGTAAAAGTTGCCGTCCAGGCAGACTCTGGTACGTATTTGTATTTAAGTAATAACTATTGAGTAAATATAACAAAAAAGGCTACTCTTCCATTCAAAACCGGTAGGTAAATTATGGTCATTGGTGTCTGAAAACCACGGTCCCTGACCAACTTTTTTCAATATACACTGCTGTCCAGTTTCGAAGAAACTCATTTAAAAAAGAGGATCAAACGAGGCTCAAATATGTGTGAAATATTATTTATAAAAGTTATTTTGTGTACTATGCCGAAATAGTAGGGTTTGATACATGGATCGAGCACGGGTCGGAGGATTTGTAATAACAGGGACTTACATATAGTACAATATTCTAAATAAATTTATTAAATTCGTTATACTCTTTATACTGATTTAAGTAATATAATAAATATTATTTATAATTTTTATTTTTAGTTGAATGGGTTCTTGTAAGGTTTATTGATGATGATATTCTTAGCACTCCTCTAAGAATAGATAAAGTAATCGATGAAAATTCGGGATCGGATGGGATGGAAGCAAACCTGCAATCGGGGGATATATGTCTTGCCCCATATTCAGATGGGCATTTATATAAAGCGAAGATTCTGCTGAGAACAGGTATAACTTACAATATTTCAAATAAAAGTGTTAATTAATTTCAATTATTAAAATAAGTGTTGAAAAATGCCTTTAAAAAAGTAATTGCAAGGACCATTAATTATTTGTTACTCATTTTTAAAAAAAATTAAATTTAACATTTTTGAAAGCAGATTTTTTTTGTAGTTTTCTCACATAATTTCAAAAAAAATTTCAGTAGATGTTTTGCTGATATCATCTGGGTCAAATATAAATTAAATACAAATTTTATGACACAAAATTGTTAAGAAATTATAGTATTCTCGGACTAGTAAATTTTCTTTCATACTGAATTTTCAGCTGACAAAGAAAAGGCACTTAAAGACAGAAAAATTCTACTGACAGCCAATCCTGAGCGTGGTATGTATCAAATTATAATGTTGCCATTAATTTAGTTGGAAAAAAAAATCTTTCAGATTTGGAAGCATGACTTTTGCACAACAAGTAAACAATATCTGCTACTTATTTACATTTTGTGTCATATATTTAATATATGTAATGGGAAAACACTGTATATGTAGTATATGATGTATTCATTAAACTTATAAATAAATTATTCTAGTATACTCATTTTGAAAGTCACCTTTTTTTTAACTTCTATGCAGAGAAAAAAGGGAGCAAAAGTGGAATGAAAAAGGGTGGTACGTAACAAATTTTAGCCACTATTCAAGCTTGTATCAATCATATTTTAAGAAATGAGAAGTCAACTCAAATAAATTTTGAAAATTCAGGAACATGGGGGTAAAAAATCAAAATTTGAGTGAAATGAATTTTTAAAGAGTTCAAGTTTAAACACTGAACATATGACAGGCTACAGGATATCCAGAAATTAAAGGATTTCTTGTTTTACATTGTAAAGTGTGGTGCATAAATATCAATAATATGCCACAAGTCCTTTTTTTTTTCCAGAGAAGAAGTCATCAAAACGACCAAAAGCAGAGGAGTGCAAAGATCAAGAAAACAAAAAAACAAAAAAGGGTATGTACATTTGCTTTTAATACTTTAAACAGATTCTTAATTTTTTTAATTGAAGTTTCAAAGACCCCCATGTCAGTCATTTTCATTGTGGTTTATCTGGCCTCTATAACTGTTCATTGTCAATAATAATGAATAGAAATTATAATACTATCACTGTTTATGATTTTTAGTAACCTCCCTTTTTTTTTAATGTGAAGAACTGTAAATCACCATGTGTATTAATTATAAATCAAAGGTTACTGTTAAAATGAAAATATCTCTCGTAGACTCTCTCACAATAACATAATTTGCCCTATTGGGAAAACACTGCCAGAAACATTATATTTCTCAAAGTTGAAAAAAATTTATACATGTAGTTTGTTATTCACTTTATTATTTCTTTTGTAGAAATATTAGAGGAGAAGAAAGCGAGGGACAACTCGAGAACAGAAACGCTCTTGCATGCCCAGGACTATATTTTAAAGCATGTGAGAAATTTTGATAATAATGCCTCACCTAGTAACCAAGCTACTCCTCTCTCCTTGCAACCACCTCCCATCTCCAATTCACCAACAGCTATCATTGATAAACCTCATTCTACCCCTCAACCTAGAACTAAACCTAGCATGATTCCTTCAACCTTCTACTCCTTAGCAGCTAACACTTCTCAACCTCCTTTGAAGTCCTACCCACCAGCAGTTCCAATATCTTCTAGCTCCCAATCTACTCTTAACGCCGCCCAACTTCCTACTAACTCCTACCCATCAACAGCCAATACTACACAAACTAACATTGCTCTTCCTTCAGCTAACCCTCCAGTGATCAGTATTACTCCTTCTTCCTACCCACCTGCAACTAGTGTGACCCCTTCTTCCTACCAACCAGCAACTAGTGTTACTCCACCTTCCTTCCCACCTGTAACTAGTGTTACTCCACCTTCCTTCCCACCTGTAACTAGTGTTACTCCACCTTCCTTCCCACCTGTAACTAGTGTTACTCCACCTTCCTTCCCACCTGCATCTAGTGTTACTCCACCTTCCTTCCCACCTGCATCTAGTGTTACTCCACCTTCCTTCCCACCTGCAACTAGTGTTATTCCACCTTCCTTCCCACCTGTAACTAGTGTTACTCCTCCTTCCTGTTCACCTGCAGCTAGTGTTACTCCACCTTCCTTCCCACCTGTAACTAGTGTTACTCCTCCTTCCTGTTCACCTGCAACTAGTGTTACTCCATCTTCCTTCCCACCTGTAACTAGTGTTACTCCTCCTTCCTGTTCACCTGCAACTAATTCCACTTCAGAAACTTTCATTGCACAACCCCTTTCTTCTCCTTCATTCATTGACCAGCCTGTAGATCAGTCTCCTGCTCCTACTTCCTGTTCATTTACAGCATCCTACCCACCTACACCTAATGCTGCCAAATCATCTCCTTCCAGTTCCTATCCACCTGCATTTAACACTATTCATCCTCAGCCCCTCTACTTGCCCTCAGGCTATACATCTCACCCACCAACTGTCTATCAATCTCCATCCCCCTTGTCTAATGACTTCTCTTCTCAGCATACTAACACATCAGATGTTCTGGGAAGATCGTTGATAACTCTGAATAATGATTGCTATGAGTGCTCTGTTAGAGATGTTCAAATAGAAAGTCTAAAGCAAGCTCTCAACCAAAGCACCAAAGATAATGGAGAACTTTTGTTAAGGGTGCAGGAGTTGGAGAGGGAGAGGGGAGAGCCTGGCTCAAGTAATTATCAGAAAGAATATTTTTATGACCTTTGAGTTTGGCTCCAAACTTCATTTCATTGTAAAAATTGTTCTTGGGTATCATTTTGAAATGTGAATAATGAAAAGCAATGTTAAAAGAAGATTCATTTTAAAGTTTTTCAATTGAAAATTTATTTTTCAAATTTTATAGCACACGAGGAAAAGGAAAGTGAGGTGAGGGATCACTATACCCCCAAAAGAGGCATCATTGTTGACTGGTCAGACTATGTAAGTAAATTTGATGAAAAAATGAAATTGAATATAGATTATTTCAAAAATGTCTATATCATTAGCAAGACATTTACATCTATCAGAACAATAGATACAAATATTGGATTTCTAGGTCCAAATTAGGTATCAACAGAGTGAGGGGATATAGTAACGCAATTGTGTGTGTTTGTGAGTGGGTTAATTGTCCTGTGCAAAAAGGAAGTGACGTAATTTGCATCAGGATTGATGTCGTATGTTGCCTTGATTTAAAGATTTGCTCTTTGCAAGCTTTTTGGTGCCCTTGTTGATTTATTTATTTTCTTACGATTATAGTCTAAAGTAATTCTGGTTTCAATGAATTCTAATGAAAGTTATCTTTTGAACAGCTTCTTGTTGATATTGGAAAGGAGGCCCCTCCTAATTATGAAAGATTAGTGGAGGAGGGTGAAGTTTTGGTGCCAAGGCAGTGGCTTACAGGAATTTTAGGGAAATGCAAAGGGAAAGGCAGATCCTTTACAATTAAGAAATTCATTGATGGATTTTTTGAGCCAGAAGATTTGGTCGGTAAAACTGCTGTGACTTTTGTTCCCAAGAACAAAGTGGCTCAGTCTCTGAAAGGTAAGCAAAAATTGCTTTATTTACACAACTTTGAGTTTACCAGTCTTACAGGTTCTTCAGTATCTTTTCCTGATGAAGTATGTGCACGCATAAGAATTAAATAGTATTGCTTATTTTCTTAATATTTAAATAGGTTCACACAGATTGCAGTTTAAACATTTCTTTCTCATGATCTTTTTTAGTTTATGCTATCAAGAAGTTAGGGATGAGGGAAGCCGAGTTTAATATGGCATTTAACTCGAAAGCACAAACAGCAAAGAGGGCAATAAAATTCCGCAGACGTGAAATCCCAGAAAATTCATCAACATGTGATGTTTGAAATGATTTTGATTTAAAAACACTCAGTAAATTTTTGTCGATCCAAAGGTTGTAAATGTATTATTCTGTATTTTCTCTCTTTGTCTGTCAGTTCAAAATTTTAACATTGTCATAACATTGCTAAAATTTAATTTTTGAATTCAGTTTTTAAGGTCTCCCATCATAACTAAGAAAAAGATGTCTGATTTGTTTAAAAGCTGTGGAAGCATGGCTTTTTTGAATGATCATAAATACATTATTTAGTTTGTTTAAATAGCTCTAATGAAAATAATTTACCTGTGATGACACACATTCTTGGAAAAAATATAAACATCAGTCCATTTTATAGTCATAAGCACATTGCATTGATATGTGCAGTTGAAATTCATTGATAGGTGTGAAATTTCTTTGTTGTAAAATGTTTAATAGTTGTTGTTTACCAGAAACCCTGTGTTCATTTTGCAGGAAGACCAATTTAAATCTGTGTTATACTCGGTGATTTTTCATGCACCAAAGGTTGTGAATATTATTTTTGGTCTGTCTCGTGTATTCATTTTGAAGGAAGACCGATTTAAATTTGTGTTATACTCGGTGATTTTTTATGCACCAAAGGTTGTGAATATTATTTTTGGTTGTCTAGTGTATTCCTTTTGAAGGAAGACCAATTTAAATTTTAGTTATACTCGGTGATTTTTTATGCACCAAAGGTTGTGAATATTATTTTTGGTCCGTCTCATGTTTGATATATACAATGTAAGTGTTCCAAAAACAATTTTTTGTGTGTAGTGCTGTTCTAGTCATTTTTGAAACATTGTTTGATATAAAAAAATTTTTTTTTTTTTTTTTGTTTTTGTTTGTTTTTGTAGTGCTGTTCTTTTTGATTTATAGTTAGTGAAATTTACCTTTTATCTTAAAATTTCATAAAGAATTTTTTAAAAATACTTTAGTGTTTGTTTTTTTTTAACTAGTCACCATGTTTAGTTATTTATATGATCATTTATAGTTTGTATATGTTAACATGGCATTGTGAGCCAGTAATGTGCCACAAAAGTGTGCCACAAAGTTGCAGTTAACTCTGTGCCGGAAATGCACCACAAGTATGTGCCACAAACTTGCAGCAAACTGTACTGTACAATTAGATCTGTTTGCCGCATATGTGCCAGAACGTTGCCGCAAATGTGCAGCAAACTGTGTGCCACAAAAAAATTTGCATACGAAAAATTTACTTGCAGCAAGCTTGCCGCAAACGTTTGCCGCAACCTTGCAGCATCTTTGCAGTAAATTTGCTGCAACTATGTGCCACAAGGCTTTTATTTTGGTAAGGGCAGGTCTTCGATTTATAGAGGATCCTTCAACATAATGAAGTCCCATCAATCACCCAACAGTCCCTTTTCTCTGAAAAATGTACATTTAGGAAAAAATCTGTCCATAGACAAGCTTAGATTTTGCTAAGAAGGTGAAATTCTCTCATGCTGAGGATTGTCAGAATTGTAATGAAATACAAACCAAGATAATAGTTTATAAAATTCCTTGATTCACTTTATGCTGCACATCGTACCAAGAGAAATATCATAAAAAAATTCTGGTACTTTTCACAGATTTTTATTTTGTACCTCAAATCTTATAAAATTGATTCACAGATTTCAACTGCAAGAACACACATTCCTTTAACCACTTAAACCATTAACTTTTATATTGCACTTTAAAATCAAGGACAAGGATGTACTTATGAATCAAAGAATTACATTGCACCTCAATCTAAGACGAGAGATCCACATTGAATTCCGTGATTTACAGAGGTTACATTCACTTCTAGACTACTGCGATAATCTCTTGATCTCAGTAACTTCTCCTGACTGCAGTTCACACTATCTGAAGTTTACACGAGTTGTGAGATAGAACCCTCGAGATACATTCCAGCATCATACCAGTGTTATGCTTTATTGTTATAGTCAACTATTTTGAACGTGACATACTCTGAATACCTCCCCTGTTCCTTTGTACAGTGTTTTTACTTGTCAGGCTTAGCAGATAAAATTAATCTTGTCTCTAATAGCACACCACAGAAACTACATTTTCTTGTTCAAGGGGAATAACTCTGAATGGTTTCTCTGGTTGACAGCCCAGTGGGGATAATAAAATTTGTTGTAAAGCCATCACAACAGGATTAAATTAGTTACAATAGCTGATAGTCTCAGTGAAGTAGGTTATTCACAGATTCACAGCTAGACTGGGGTAATAAAGCAGGAAGTCTTGTAGGCCTGTCTCCCTTAATCATTATCTCCAGGTGTGAGGAAAAATTGTAATTAGTTAATTATCTCTGCTGGGAGTTGGTGCACAGAAGTCAGGGCACCTGCTGGGGACAAATCCCCAAAGTATTGACACATTTACTAGCCAGTGTGAAGAGAAAAGTTTAAGTTTGATTTGTGTCAAATGTCTGATTTGTTGAAGTGCTATCAACAATAACACAGTGACTTCTGTAGTGTCCTATGTAATCTACTACAGCTTCACCTGCACTAAAACCTTGCTTGAGAGCAATATACAGTAAAACAGTTTTAATTCAAATATTGTGTGAGTAATACTCAGAGATGTTTTTTTCAAATTTTTAAATTCAAAGGTCAAGGTCCTACAAAGGTCATGATGACACAGGACACATCATTTACCATGATACACCAACACACCAAATCTTTACGGTAAAAGAGATAAAACAGTTCAGAGTTAACAAACACAATTGCATGAAAACAACTAAAACACCTCAATGAAAACGGGTTGAGTAGGTGGGTTGGTCTAGAGATAAACTATATTTATCAAAGAGAGCATATCTGCAAACATGTAGTTCACCATCTATCTAAACAGGTCTGGGCGGCCTCCGTTTTTGGAGGATAGCTAAATTCTATATGGCGGCCAAAATTTTTACCATATATGGAAACCGCGTTGCATTGTGGGATAGTTTATCCTCCGATTTCAGAGGATAAACAGGTAATTTTCAAACACCTCATGCCTACCTTTAATCAAAAAGTGCAAGCACCAGAGTACATGCAAATGAAAGTTCAAACATTAAACTATCGATTGTATGTGGCGATTTGAGATTCTATGTCTAGATATTTTGCAATTTATTTTCAAAGTTAGCACTTTTTGCGCTCCATTATTACTGAATATTTCTTGTTATTTTGTTTTATTTTTTATGATTTTTCCCTATTTAGACAAAAAAAAGGACTTTAATATTTCTTTTATATTTTCTTTTAATTCAAAAAAAGGAAACACAAAAGGAAACGCATTTTAAGCGTATTTAAAATGCAAATATATACTCTGCCTTATAATTTAAGCAAATAAAAGTATAAATGGATTGAATGAATAATTATAAAAATAAATAAATAAATTGAATAGCATAAGTAAATAAAATAAATAATTTGACATGTTTACTAAGAAATTAACATATATTCATACAGCCATGTGTATACATAAACAAATAAAATATTACAAAGTGATGTGCTTAAGAATTATTAAATGAAAGAAATAATAAATGATTAAACTTATATTTTCAAAAAAAATTGCTTATCAAAATTTCTAAACTGCTTATCACATAATTACGGTACTGGAAAAACAGTGTAGTTATAACTGTATAATTAACCTCAGTCACAGGCAGGTAAGTGCAATATTTGTTTTCCAAGCTGTATACTGAATAACTAATTGACGGCAATTACAAAAATATAGTTATATTGATTTAATATCTGGAATTATCCATCATCATCATATGAAATTGTACCTTTTATTTGTTTTGATTTCGAAATCAGCATATGGTTCATAAATGCAAAAGTTGTTGTTATTTGTTTGGTTTAGAGTTAACTGCCCTTAGTTTTGAAAATTCCAGTAGGCGGCAAGACCGCTATCCTCTGTTTTCAGAGGATAAAATCTATCCTCCAAAAACAGAGGCTGCCTAGACCTGCTAAATGAGATATATGATTTAGCAAAGAAAACCACTACCAACATATATCTCACAATGTGTGAATGAGATAAGCAAAAGACAACTCTGCCAACATACATATCGCAATATGGTAATGAGATATAAAAAACCAACATATGTCTCACAATCTGTTAATGAGATAACACTACCAACATACATCTCATGATCTAGTAATGAGATAAAGGAAAGGGCACCACTACCAACATACATCTCACGATTTGGTAATGAGATAAAACAAAGGACACCACTTTCAATGTTAACATACATCTCAAAATTTGGTAATGAGATAACACTACCAACATACATCTCACAATCTCGTAATGAGATATAACAAAGGACACCACTTCCAACATACATCTCACAATCTGGTAATGAGATAACACTACCAATATATATCTCACAATCTGGGAAAGGGATATCACAACCAACATATATCTCAATCTAGTAATGAGATTCCACTACCAACATACATCTCACAGTGCAATGATGAGATATAACAATTGGAGGTCACTGATAGTTTTTCTCACAATCTTCTAAAATTCTGATTTATTTATTTACATGAAAAAAATATCCATACAAATACATTACTAGAGAGATTACGAGTTTTATGATAGATTATCACTGTTATTTTGCCTTATGCTTTAGAGGGTCCTCTCAAAAATCTACAACAGCAGGGTCCTTCTTGATGGAAACAGCATGTTTTTTTTCTGCCTGTCAAAATGCTGTGTGCTGGTTTTAATCTAGAACAGCTCTAGGATTACTCTGTGATTACTGAGGTTAATACCTGTATAAAATCTTCAACATTGTATCTGCATAATAACTGCATCACATCTGATATTTCTCAAAAGTTATGTGAAATTGTCTAAAACTCTGCAAGGGGTGTATTACTTTCCCAGACCACCTCTTACAGAAGATGCTTGTATAAAATACAATAAGAAGTTATGACCCATTCTGGGTTTGAACTTACATCATATAGTTGTAAGGCAGCATGACTGACCTACTGTGGCTAACATATAAGACTGAGTTCAGTGCCATACTATACAGCTGAACATGGATATCTCAAATACCATGTATATGTCAAAGTGATTTGAAAGTCCCAAGCCTTTTTTCTTTAAGTATTTTACCCTCAGTATCTTGAACCCACGGATATCTTGAAGTTTTTTTCTTAGTCCAATAGAGTTTGAGATAACAAGGTTTGACTGTATATTAAGTACACAGGGCTTTGAAACTTTCACCACCTCTCTCTGTAGAGAATACCAGTCACAATTTGACAGCACTATGGCTGTCCACTGTTTACAAACTTAGCGGTCTGTATCCCCCTCATTCAGATTTGTTATCATCAGATAGAATCTTGTTAATTCTCTTTACAATATACTTCATGTTTTTATTGACAACTTTGATTTATAAAAGACTGTGAGCATCAATGTGACCTGAACACCTCTCAGTGTCTACAATGTTTCCTTCAATACATTCTGTCAATGACCTTTGTTCAAAGTCTCCAAACAGGATCTTCACTTAGAAAACTTCTGACACTACTGCTTAAATCCTGAATGCTCAGGAAACCCATTTCTATCTCTGCTTAAACAAAACCACATGGGAGTTGCCATAAGGCACCAAATATTTCAAGTCTGACATCCCTCCTAAAACTGTAGGAAAGGTCAGCATTACAATCATCTGACATTGTCAATGAGAGTTTTATTCTGGTCCCAGGGACCCTCACAAATTATAAATGTAAAGTGATTGAAGTCTGCAATTTAGCTTCAATCTATAAAAAGGTCACAGCTAGTTCATCTCAAATTAACTTCTTACCATTTTGTGTAAAATTAAAATAAAACCAATGATTATATATCCATTTCAATGAAGAATTAGTTTATAATCTACAGTTTATCTGAGAAAAATTGAGAACATAACATATTTATAGTTTCTCTGTTCCATTGTTGACAAAAATGCCTCTTCTGGCCAGAATATAGAATTTTAATGACAGAAGTAAGTAAACTGAGAGCCATTTTAGCATCCACTGGACAAATGATCACATACAGGGTTTCTCAAAGTTTATAATGCAGAACTGGTTACATTTTGAAATATCTAAATTCAATATACACTTGTCTAACTCAATCATTCATTTTTAAAAATTATTCAAATGTAAAATCACTCTTTATCTCCTGCAGGACATAACAAGTGAACTGATAAGCTTAAAAACATTTAAAATTGAATACTGAGTCATAACTTCAAAATGTGTAACATCCCCGACTCCAAAATCCATGGACAACATGGGACAGACTGGGTTGTTTCTGTTGTGTTTTTAAACAGTGATTATTTGTCAGATAATTTATGCATTTATGCTTTGAGTGCACATCTGCTGAAAAAAAACAAACCCTGTCATGAATAAAATTTATGATCAAGTGTATAACGATTGCATCACTGAATTTGAAAATAATCAAAACAATTTATAATGATCTCAATCTTCTCTTGTTTCTGGGTTAAATTGGCTGTTAAAGTAAGACTTTGTTTACCTGATTGTGGAAAATAATCCCTGGCTAATAGATCCAGAAAGTTTTTGTGGTCCCACTTGTCTTAATCCAACACTGAAAAAAATGAAAGTAATCATTTAAATCAAAACTCTTTTAAATGCAGTGCCAGTGTCTATCAGCAGCAGATCTCTAAAATCAATACCACATCACTGAAACTCCACAAAATGCAACAGAAAATCACTATACCATGAGAAAAAGCTATATGAAACTGCACCACTAGCTTGTGAAAAATCTCCAATTACAATTGGAAAACTAACCATGCGTGGCCAGAAGAAATTGCGCCCTCTCTCACACATTTATAATGGAGGTATAATGGGGGACCATGACAATGCAGGAAAAAATTTCCCAGATAAATATTTGCTCAGAGCTTCTGTTGGGAAGTCATGTGAGTGAAGCACCCCCCTCTACTGGTGAGGAGCAAACAAATATTAGACAGGACAAGGGTAAACAGAATTAAGGAAGCTGCTCATATTGTTTCTGTAGAGATAAAACTGTTGATGCATTTGTCAGAAAACTCACTATAGTGTTATGATAAGGCAATGCCCTAATGCATATCACAGCTGCATGCTCCCTTTGTAATATTGAGGTATTATCACACTGTCAATCAATCAAAGTCCATGAATTAATTGATAGCAATGAATTGATATTTTGCACCATAAAATACTTATTACAACAAACATGTTTAACTTGTGATGCCCCATTCACAATTCAAGTCTTTTAATCAACTTCAGGTGAATGAGTTGAGATCAATCCAGTTAACTTCTACATCAGGGTCTAAATAGAACTTACAATAATACTGCAATCTCTAAATCAGTTGTAACCTGAATCTACACTATGTGAAGATGCTTATCTTGCTTGTTGAGGTGAAATGTTCATTAGATGAGGATTTTTTCAAGAATCAACCTTAAACATTGAAAATGGTCCTTAAGCAGTCAAAAGTGTGAAAAATTAATGGCTAAATAACAGACAGATAACAGACAGATATAAATGATTAATGATAGGTATATTTCTGATCAGCAGGTGAGTTATATTAAATGAGTTACATTAAATGATACAAGGTACATTTTTATATAAAACTAGAAATATGTCCATGGGACATGAATGCCCTGCCCTGGGTTCATTAGCAATGCAACATGAAAAGAAATCTACCTTGCTTCTTTGTTAAAGGTAAGGGTAAATGAGGAAAAGAAAGGTCAAGGTCATAGGGAAGGTTAAGGTCAGAAAATTATGGCACAGTTGAATTGCATTTTGTAATAGTGTATGAAGTTTGATAAAAATATCTTGAATAGTTTCTTTGAAACTAAGTTTTAAACACAACAAATAGTAAAGTCAAAGGTCATAGGGAAGGTCAAGGTAAAAAAAAAAGGACACAGTTGATATTAAAGTTTTCACCAATATGTGTGTGTTAAGATAAAAATATTGTGAATAGTTTCTTTGAACTTGAGTTCACAAATTGAAGAAAAGCAAGGTCAATTTCATAGTGATATCGAAGGTCATGATCCAAAAAATGTTGCAATTGAAAAGCTCTTGATCAACAAAATGTTTATGCATATGAAGTTTGATAAATATATCTTGAAAAGTTCCTCTGAAACTGCAGAGCTTAATGCAAATTTAAGAAAAGTGAGGTCAAGATCAATGGGATGGTCAAGGTCTTTTTTATGCAGTTGATAGCTATCATTTATATTTATCAGCATATAAAATTTGAAAAAAAAAATATCTTGAATAGTTTCTTTGCAACTGAGCTAAATAAAAAGGGTGACAGCAAGATGGAAGGATGGAAGACGGAAATGACAAACAATAAATGCCGTGGCCATATTCATGGCAGGGTAGATTAAAAAATATATATATATAATATATATAAATAAAAATATTGCAAACATCTATTATTTTATATAAACAAAATCTCAATTTACGTACATTTGAATTATTCCATTAATGCAAATAAATAAAAGAAATTTGATGCAGGAAGATTTACAACTGTGTGTTTGCATTGTCCATTTGAAGTGAAAGTAATAGTCTCCTTTGTACCAGTATGTTTAAGTAACAAAGCAGTCATCTTCAACCTATCAAAATCAACAATAGAACCATTCACCACAATGTGCATACTGCCCTCAGCAACACATTATGTAGCAGCATTATTCTGTTTTTTGATCTATTAAATGCAATGTGATGAAATCTATTATTTTACAGAATGTAATACTGGATCTAAGATCTCAACAAACAGCATGTAGCAGCATTAGGCAGTATTACCCTGTTTTTGATCTCTAATGCAATATGTGATAAAAAAATTAAGTTATTTTGCAGAATGCAATACTGGATCTATGATCTCAACAAACAGCATTACAGCATGTAGCAGCATGAGGCAGCATTACCCTGTTTTAGATCTATAATGCAATCTGATGAAATCTACTGGTTGTTATTTTGCAGAATGCAATACTTAACGATCTTAATGATCTCCATCCATTGTAGATGTTCACAACTGTTTTTTTTTTTTGTCATTCTATTTCTGGAAACCAATCCAGATTAATGCTGAACACAGCTGGTATCTGCCTGGTTATCACTCGAAAAAGGTGAACAAACTCCTCCAGTAGCCTTTGACAGAAAAAGCAAATGGAGAGTCCAGGTTTTATGCCCAACTCTAGAATCTGCCATCTGTGAATGAAGGGACTTCTTAGGACCAAACTAAATGAGGGAACTAATTCAAAGTTAATAATCTCTAGTAAGGAGAATTATTACAGCCCAAATCTGATTAGTCGTCCCCAAATGTTCTCCCTCAGGCACGGAGAAGTGAGTTTTTATTTCTTCCAGAAAAAATATCGATAGTTTTGTGTGTCCTCTTGCTTAGTAATGGAGTGTTAGCTATGCTTCCTATATATAATGTATGATCCGCACAGATCTCGCACTGCTTTACAAAATTCGCCTTTATTATAGAGTTATCGGCTTAGATTTAATGAGTTTTACACTCAAGGATTTCCAAAACTAATTATATCCATTTTTTATTTAGGGAAGTGGTTATATCTACTTAGAAATATAAAAAAAGAACCCCCAAAATTTATTTTGATATATTTTTCAAAAACAATAATAATGTTGCTCTTCATCAAACTAATCCAATCTGACATTGCTTACATGAACCAATGTCAAATCAAAAATTCTATAACAATTAAAATGTCAAAATAATTCTGACATTTGAGCTTTTGTCCAGTTACTTCTACTCCATCCATCTTCATATACCAGAAAGATCATATAAACCTGAGCAGATTAATTAACCTTGTCACAGGACAGTGTTATGAAGGTCAAGGTCAGTCACCATATTTCACAATTAGACAAGTCATTTACCTAAACGATGGATATATCCATGTTAATAAGAGCACAATAGACAATTCTGGTGGATCAAACTCCTGAGGATTAAAACCTGGCAAAAAACACAGCATTAGAAAAACGTGTGCAATTAATTTATACATGCAGAGTAATCAACATCTTAGGATTAAATACTTATTCTTTTCTGCATCTCATTTGTAAATTGTCATACTTCATATATTGCTTTCTACAACATAAAATTTGACCTTATTATTAAAAGTATGAAAGAGAGCAAAAGTAGATACTTGAACTACCAATGCTAAAGTCAGCGTAAATTCTAATAGTCCAAAAAGGAAAGGAGGAAAAAAATGACATTCATTCATTTTATAATAGACCTCTTTGTTGTAAATACACAGTCCATAAAATTGGAGAGATTTATGTCTTAAATTATGGTAACATTGCTGTGGTTTCTTATGTACATGTCTGAACAAACTGTAGATGCGATTATACAAGTATGCGATTACAATCCTTTTTGCTGGAGCAAAGCAAATTACTTCACAAGATGTTATCTCCCGAAAGGCATAAATATCTCTTATGTTCTCTCTGTACTGCATCAAAATGGGAACTATAAGGCTTCAATTTTTTTTTCAAGTGTTGTTTTTGAAAAATGCAAAGTTAACCCCCCCTCTCCCGCCATTCATATAAACATGCCAAAAACTATGTATGATGATTATACATATACCACTTTCAAATCTGAAAAATGTTTTAATTTTGATAATGTTTTAATTCACAATTGCCCTTAGGTGTTCATGGTGTAAGACATGCCAGCTTTTGATTGTAGCAATATTGGTCAAGAAGAAAGCCTTTTCCTAGTCAGTGACTAGTACAAATGAGATACACCAACCATACACAGCATTCAATCATAATACAGGGACTCTAATCATCATAAATCATATCTCGGTCTTCATATATCACTAGACACAAAATTAATACTGATACATTATATACTGGTAAAGTGGTATAAATCTTACACAGATTATCCTACTGAACAAAATGTGGAATAATTGAATCAAAATTAATTATATTATTGAACCTTATCCTTCATTTTCTCCTAGATTTGACAAATCAGTAGTCTGACAGCGGGAATAAATTCACTGTCCATTATGTGGGGACAGGACATGAGGATATATATTATCATGGCAGACTGCTCCAGTAATAATTGGTGTACGATTTATGTCTGGTGATTATAGAGCAGAATTAGGAGTAGATATCTTTTAGCACTATTCACACATGATGAAAAAAAACCCCAGAATTGTTACAACCTACTTTTAAAGTACAATCGTAGATGTCTAGGTTGTGAACTTCATTATTACAGTCAAATCTTGATATCTCAAAATCAGCAGAACTAAAAATCCAGAATATCTAGGGGTTCACGATACAGAAGTTAAGATGAGATACTCACTTTGACATATACCTAGTATCTGACATATTAGTGTAGGGATATTAAAATTAAACTAAATACTAAAATACTAGGCTTAAAATTCAAATGTCACTGGTACTAATATAAGCATTAACAATTCTTATTTCTTGCTGTATCTCTGAAACAAGGCACTTGCAAGTAATCTGACATTAACTGTAATGGGTGGATTAAAGCTTTTTAAATGTCTTAAATAAACATATGTAATCAAAGATTACGAAGTTCACCTCGACAAATGTTATCCATAAGTAAGGCACATCTCACACCATTTTTTTCCTAGTTTGTGTGCATCCTGAAATCAATATCCATGCAAGTTTGATTTAAGTAGGACATATAATTACTTAGAAATGAACCTGTTCTAAAAACTTTTACCTTTTCACTCATCCATAAAATGTAGGTTAATTCCAACATCTGAAGACCCAGCATCCGAAGCAGACTAGGTATCCCTAGATGCATCATCCATGCAAGTTTGGTACAGGTTACGTGTTATATTTCCTGAGAATAGACCTGTTTTAAAAACATTAATCTGGTCATTCATCTGGAAAATTTAGGGCAGATCCAGCATCCGAGGCAAGTCTGGTAGTGTCCAGCCCTAGATGCATCAACCATGCAAGTTTGGTCC